AATTACCTGATGTTTCCAAGTGGAAGTCTTATGGGACTGATGAGATGTGGAAGCAAGTTCTGGTGCTGAGAGAGTCAATGCTCTTGAAAAGGGACACAAGTTTAAGCCACCAAAATTCTGTTTGGCAGGTATGTATGTGTGTGTGTGCGTAAAATCAATTATTGCATCTAGTGTTCGCATAATTTGCAAACATACATATCCAATCCGTCTTACCAATGAGGGTTAGATGTCTATATCTGCATTTTTCACATGTTTCTTGGAATCACTTTTTCTTATCAAATGGATTGTAGCTAAAATTGTCAAACATGGTCATTTCATATCCTTTTATCATCTAGAGTTATTCAGTTACTTTATGGTACAAGTGTAAAACCATAGGTATGCAAATACCTTAAAATCATTTTTTCAATGGAGCTTTATGCTCACTAATGAGAAACAAATTGCTCACTAAATAAAAGTTGTGTCACTTGTGTGTTTAGTAGCAAAAAATGAGTTGCTATATGTACTGCCATTGCATAACAAAGAATAATTATATGCTCACAGTGTTCTCGTACATATGCTTGAAGTATATAATTTATGTATCATCAAATGGTTAATATGCCTTATAAATGCTGGAGATACTTCATAAAGAGTGTGATATTACAAATTGTAACTTTTTCTCTAATTTGCATTCTTATGCGCTTTTGGCTCGTGAATCGTGTAATTAATGCATAATGCTAGTAATGATGCTGTATGGGCATGCAGAGCATGTTAGCTCTCCAGCTCTTAAAGTCAGTTCATGCATATTCTTTTACTAATGTAGTTTTATTTCTTTTTTTGGCTTAGTTGATCAAGGTATATATTATGAATATTGTAATGATATGATTTAAAAATACTCCATATCTTTCTATTTCAAGGCATGCATCAATGTTGGGTTGTTAATTGTTATCTTATTTGGACAAGTGGTCTAGGTTTTGCTGCTGTATATTCAATTATAATGTAATATTCCATGCTCTCAATAGTAAGTATATTGTGATATTATGTTGATTATAAATGAGTTCAACGTAATTGTTAGTTTGTTATGTAAGCAATACTATTTGCAGTCTCTAATTCAGTCATTGTACCCTTTTTAATGCAATATAAGTTGATTTTTCCATGCTAACACAAGGCTGGGGCAGTTATTGAATAATATCTCATATATTGGATTAATATGAGGTAATATATAAACCCATTTTTTTGGGAAAAAAAATTTAAAAAATTACAGTGCAAATCACATTCAAGTTTTTTTTTTTGTTGAAAAAAAAGAGTTGTTGAAAATGTTCTCCTTTATTTATCCATTTCTGTGGTTTGGTTGCATTCTATTTGCTTGGCTGGAAAATGCATTAGTAACACGTATATACTAATAAAGTACTGCAATAAATGTTGTTGTTATTAATATACCATGATGTTACACATCAATCTATCTCCTGTCTTAACTTCATTATTTTATGAAAATTCTCTTTTTTGATAGAGGTCACAGAGGATTCATCCCACAATGTATGAGGATAGGAATCCTCCTTCTGATAGAGTAAGATGCAGCCCAAGGCTAGTTTTTGCAAAAGACGATTCTTCCAAAAAGAAACGCACACATCTTGCTACTGGATCAACATCAACAAGTGTTCAGAGTGATGATGATCCCAGCGACACCCAATTTGACTCTACTGAAGATTTAGACGTGGGTCGTTGGTGGAACCTGCGTCGCAGGCAACGTACACCTGTTGGACCAAATTTCCAAGCAGACATTCCGGAATGGACTGGTGAGATCACAGAAAGTGATTCTAAATGGTTGGGATTTCAAATTTGGCCTTTACCAAAAGGCGAGAAACGTGGAATGTTCATTGAAAGAGAGTCTATTGGAAAAGGAAGGCGAGACAGTTGTGGCTGCCGAATCCCGGGTTCCTTGGAGTGTGTTAAGTTCCATATTGCTGAGAAAAGGTTAAATTTGAAATATGAATTGGGATCTGCCTTCTATCTATGGAAACTTGATTGTGCAGGCGAGGATGTTGCATTGCTTTGGACCAAAGGAGAAGAAAAGAAGTTTGAGGATATAGTGAAGTCAGAATCTCTCGCATCACAAAGCAAGTCTTTCTGGGATGAAATATTTAAGCAGTTCCCTAGGAAGAGTAGAGGCTCACTGGTAAGCTACCATTTTAATGTTTTCCTTCTAAGACGCCGAGCTCACCAGAATAGGTTCACACCGACAGAAATTGACAGTGATGATGACGATGAACAGTGTGGTCCGAGGGCAAACTTTTTTGGACGGGAGGGCACTAAGCCTTCAAACTCCATCTTCTGTTCTCCAAAGAAATGATCCCAGAGTCCAGACAGTACATATGGTTTCATTATGCTCTACTGAATGGTTCATATTTGTAAATTGCACAAGTCTTAAATGTGGCTTTACTCTTGACATTTTTGGGGGGTAGTTGGAATACGTTTGGGGTCTCCGGAGGGGCATTTAAAGCTTTGCCCATTTCATTGGTGTTTGGATGGATAGCTTCCTTAAACACATATACTGAAAACCTGATAGCCACATAAGGAAATTTTTGCATTGTTATGGTCATCATGGCTCCCCATGGTTTTTACCACAGTGACTGCTCATTGGTGAGTTACTACTGCTGTACATTGTTTTTTCTTGTCATTTGAGACTTTAGTTCAATATGGGATTTCTCTCTGGCTAAAACACATCTAATTGTTCCTTCTTCTGTAGCATTTCTACCATGTGTCTTCATGTTTCTGACTTTCTGTTACTCGTTGCACACGTACCAGATTTGTTATCTTTGTCTGATCTGATTGATTCTGATTTGGATATTAAGATCTAAACCGATCTTAGTTAAAATTAAAGTTATTTTTGGTTTGATCTAAACTAATGCCAATTAAAAGCAACTTGAAGAGAACACAATCATAGAATTGTTTTAAGTCCAATGCATTTAAAAGATAACAAGTGCATTCAATGCAGTCTTTTAAAGGAAAGTGTTTTAAAGTTATGAATGAAATTTTAGGAAGAAATCTTCATTTTTTTGTGATTGTGTGTGGTATTCTTTTAAATGCTTAAATTTAAGATTTTAATAACCTTGTTATTGTACCTTTTAATAACAAGGTTACTCTTCATGAACATTAACCATCACTTACATTTGTGTTTTTTAACTTAAGAAGTTCTGTAACTTTAAGTTTGGTAATAAAAAATCTGGCAAACGGTATCTTTTGTTACTTTTTCTTTTTAAAGATGAAATATACTTTTGTTAGAGATTAAAAAATGAATACTTTTTTTTGTACCAATTCAGATGTAAAATGAAAATGTTAATACATTTTTATTTTTTCAATGGGCGTGTTTGCAATGATGAAATTTTTACTAGATACAACTTTCATCCCAAATGTTGTAGCCAATCAGTGAAATGGGAAGGAGGACAAGAGGGGTGTTGCAGTGGGGTGGACAGGTGGGGTGCAGGGGTGTAAGGTTTTGAGAGAGAGTTAGATGGGTAGGAACCATTAATTTTATGAATGGAGCATTGTAGAGTTCCAGGTCATAAAATGACCCGGATTCTAAGGTCAAACGATTCTAGCCCCAAAATATTGTTAAAATATAATGCTTAAAATATTACTTGGTATAAATTGGCCACACAATACAACATTAAGTTTTATAGAAAATTTTTTTGTCTTAATTTATTAATAATCCAAAAACAACTAATTGCAAAAATGTGTCAGGTAAATTGGCAAGAAACAACGAAGCCATCCATGGTAGATTGTATTGTATCTGTCAAAAAAAAGTCCTTAATCTTTTGACGGTTCACAATCTTAGTCTCTCATTTTTCTTTTTTGAAAAACTTTAAGCGGTTCACAATCTTTCTCTTCCTCTTCATCACTCTTAATCATACATTTTTTCACTTTCCATAAACATTGTGTAAGGCCAAAACAAAAGTAGTTTTTTGAGATGGACTTAGTAAAATTTATTTTATTAAAGACAAAAGGCTAAACTTCACTATTGATCCTTCAATTTTATGAGATGTACACGATTGGTTTTTCAAATTTCAAAAATCCATAAATAGTGTTTCAATTTTATGAATTGTGCACAATTGATCCTCCAAGTTTCAAAAGTTCATAGGTAGTCTTTCAAGTACATGTCAGCCCTTCAGATGAGATTCTTTTGACGGTAAATGTTAAAAGCTAAATGGAGTACTAGTTCCATATAATACAGAGTAGTCGTCCCTAGTGGAACTTAATCATATTATATGGAACTAGTATTCCATTTAGCTTTTAATGTTTACTGCCAAAAAGAGCTCATTTGGAGGGCTGGCGTGTACTTGAAGAACTACTTATGAACTTTTGAAACTTGAATGATCAATGGTGCATAACGCATAAAGTTGAATGATCATTCATAGACTTTTAAAACTTGAAGGACCAATTGTACACAACTTATAAAGTTGAATGACCAATAATAGATTTTAGCTAAGACAAAAGTATAAGTCACTGAGGTTGATAAATTAATATGCACGAATTTCACGACTTTTATTTTAACAGAGAGCATAAATTTAAATACACCTTATTTTAGTTTATTTTTACTCCTTCCATCTTTTGGAGCAATTTTTCATTCATTTTTGTTCGTTTATTTCAAAATACTTTTACAAAATCATTACAATATATTCTATCCACTCGTATTTTGTATTTGATATAATAAATCATTTAAGTGATTTAATTCTCTTTATTCTTCAATGCTACTACGTAAAGTATACGGAGTACTCCGTAATTGAGAAGTTAAATTACAAGGATTAAATGTTATTGCAAAAATTAAAATAGCAACTAAATTTGTTATTGCAAAATCAGGTAATAAAAAGGGACCCACACAGGCTTGCCCACAGAATCATCATCAAACGGCACCGTTGCAACCTCAGCCGGTAAAACAATGATCCCACGCCCCACTTTCTCCCCTCTCTGCGTACAAATTCTGCAACGCCACGACACCTAAACCGGCTACTCCGGTTTAGCATTATCCACTACTCCCACCACCATATTTAATCCTCCCCGAGCTCTCGCCAACTCTTTCGTGTTCGTGGAGACAGTTTCCGATCCTTTGCCCACTCATCGCCGCCGCCGCCGCTCCGCCTTCGATCTCACCTCTGTAATTCCCTAGTTTAATCGGATGCAATCCTTCATTTTTTTTGTATTTGATCTGTACGTGATCGGATAAATTGATCAATTTGATCTAGTTGATGTGGGGAGCCTTTTTCTTCCGATTGATCCGTCTGTTTTTTTTACCGAGTTTAGGATCAATTTGTGTTTCGCGTCCTGATTCTGTTTGATTTGTCACAGGGGGCTGATATTTGAATGTGTTCGCTTATGTTATTTTGTTACTGTTGTTTGTTATTATCGATGGGGGCTTTTCTTTAGTCACTCTGAATAGAATAGAAATCACAGCAGTAGAATGAATTTGATAGAGTGATATTAATTATTAAGTACTCCATTATTTTAGGACAGGTGTAGCTTTAATTGTAATTATTTGAAATTTTCTCTTGATCAAATGAAAATGCTGCTCAGATAGTCAAGAAATTGACTAAATTTGCGCTTACAGTTTACCACTCTTTGACTTTCTTGTAGATGCATATCATATTCACTGTGTTATTGTTTTGACCATATCATATGCTCACAGAAGCTCTTTAGCCTATCCCATTAGCCTCCCAAAAGATGCATATCATTCTCTCATTCTATTTTAATTGTTTTGACCATATCATGTGCTTACTAAGCTTCTCATATTAATCGTATGCAATGTTGGAAAGAAAAGGCTATTCTTTCGATGGCGAGTAATGAAACGGAAGAGGAAGCTGCCCATGGGAGTGAGTGGGAAGTGGTTTCACTTACGGCATCTGAATATGAATATGCCGCTTCTGGCGAGCTGAATGGTAGGGAAGAGTACGAGGGTCAAACTTCTAACGCCTTGTTTATGTCTCATCACTTTGCTCTTCCATCAAGTCAGTACGAATATTTGCAACCGGAGCCAGAAAAGAATGAGATTCTTACTCAGCAGTTGGTTAAAGAGCCTGAATTCATGTCTGCAGATGGGGGTGGTAAGACAGGTGTGAACTATCAAGAGCATCTGGAAACCAAAGAATTGAGCTCGTCCGAGTTTCCCGGGATGCAGATTTTTAATGAGAAGGCCCAAAAGGGTGATCACTTACGTGTTAGTGGTGCAGAATGTGAAGATGATGCAACAAGGTTAGACCGGGTAGATAAGGAACCAAGATTATATGGCACTGCAGCCTATAGTAGTTCTTTACAGGGTGAAGCGAACAAATCTGTTTTGGGTGAAAGTATTCCAGCAAGCAATGATCCATTAGAATCTCTTCCTCAGCAGGTAGACATATTAGATTTTCCAGATGAGAAGAAACATGATGGAGATGATCGTCTTCCTTGTCAAGCTTGGTGGAAACGACAAGCTGCATCTCTTATCGCTCATGCTAAGGAAGCGAACACGTTCTGGTCGGTTTTCATTGCAGCAGCCGTAATGGGCCTCGTGATTATTGGGCAATGCTGGCAGCATGAAAGGTGGCTGCAGTCAAAGTGGCAGCAGCTTGGACTCCATGAAGAGGTGTGTCACCAAATGCATTATTTTTAATTATTATTGAAACATATATAATGATGTATACTGATTACACTGCCTATGGAGGACTAGTTTTCTGTCATACAACTCCACTCTGCATTTAAGGCAGTCAGAATACAATCATCTGCTGGGCTATTCTGGGTTTTTTGGGTCTCTAATAAACTGAATCAAGGACATATACTTCTAACATTTGTGCTCAACATCTAAATAAGAGGCTATGATTTACTATTAGTAACACAACATGATGCTTCATTTGTCCATGTGTACAGAGGATGTGCAAGATGGTGGGTCCTCTATCGCGGCTTAGGAACGCAATCATTGGAGGTGAGCGTCGAGGTTCGTCTCTCAGAAGCAGCACCCCTGCTCAACGTTAAGATGATGACGAAAAAACAATGGAGGTGGCGTCTCTTTACAACGCTAAGATGATGGCGAAAAATATGTAGAACAAACAGGCATCCTTTTGCCAGATATTGCAAAGTTTGCCGAATGTGTGATATATGCTGTAAATTATATGATGCTCTATTACTATAACAAATAGCCTCTTTACCCAGACTTTTATTTGGTTATTTATTGTATGATGATATATATATATATATATATATATTATTGCTCCGCTAGTAGTAATAGCATAATATTGGTAGCTTTTATGCACAAGTATTGTGGGTTGTATTGTAAGATTTAAGCTTGGGGATGAATGAATATTCATATAATCTTTTTATGGTTTTCACTTCATTTTATTTTGCGCCCATGCACTTACATATGTCCATCTGTGCTATTCTGCCATTTTTGTCTCTTTAAATGAATCTGCATAAGCAGAGTATGTACTCCCTCCGTCCTAAAATTCCACTTTCTTTTTTTAATGTCTTTTTTTAAAACCATCTTTCCACCCCCTAAAAGAGGGTGTGAAATGACTATGGTACCTCTTATATACTCGGTAATCAATAATCAACCTCTTGTAAATATGGCTCCACCCCTCTTTCAACCTACTTCTCTCCGCCTCTCATCCCTTCCACATAAACCTAGAGATCAAGGGTATCAGAGACATACATAGATAACAATTGAATGTTAGATTCACAGATAGTTGTTGCCGGTGTGTATGATACAATTGATGTGCTCATTTCTTATTTTTCATAATTATTTGGTTTTTTTCTTTTTTTGAACTCTGTTTTATCTTTTTGTTTCCTCTTCCTAGAATTCTTTTTAATTTTTTTTCAATTTTTAATAATGTTTTAAAAAATTCAAGAATCTTTGTGTTCGAAATAAAATAAAAAATAAAAAATTAGCATATACTTCATCTATCTTGAACTAAACATTTTCACTTTTTGTTTTCTATAATAATATTTTTGGTATGATCAAAATGAAAATCCAAAAAAATAAAACTAAAAATAAAAATATGGAAAAAGAAATGAAAATAATTGAAACATGCAAAAAAGAGTTATACAAAGAGGAATTTTCAAAACATCTAAAAAAGTCTTTAAAATAGTTTCATTTTATTTTTTTATTTTATTTCTTATTTTATTTCTCATGGTTTGAAGTTCTAAGTACCTTTTTATTTTGAAAAACAAAAAGATTAAAAAATGTTAATTTGAGACGTATAGATGTATCTAGTACCCCGTAGTATATGTTAAAAAAGATTTCAAAAAAATAATTTTAAATTTTAAGAACACTATAAAAACAATTTTAAAAAGAAATTTAGAAATTTTGATTAATAAAAGAAACAAATGAGGTTATTTGAACAGTACAAGAAAGCCCAATTTTATCTGGCCCAAGATATAAATCAAGTTAATTATTCAAGACAGAACCAGAGATATATGGACATAAGAATATATTTGAAGTGATGTGGAGACATTTGGCGGGACCCGTGGAACACTATCACATGGAAACCAATGCTGCACATGGACTTCACATGGACAATGTCTCCTCTTGTCTCCATCAATTATTTCCTTCTCCTCTTTAAATGCATGCTACGAAGGAGGGAAGAGGGGAGCCAATTTCCTACTAGTTCTACTATTATTCTTCATTCTTCTCCTTCTCTTAGCATGGAGCTCCATTAATGGTTCCAAGCTCCTACAGTGATGTATATGTAAATTCCCCCGAGATTAATAAAAGTTCCTCCCCTTTAGCATGGCACCGCCTAAAAAGGCCCGTGGTTTTCTCCCGATTTGGATTTCCACGTATAAATACTTTCTCTCCGCTTTATTTATTTATTTAATTTCCGGATTTCGCTATTCGGTGCGGTGCCGACCCGGTACCGATTTCATCGGGTCGGCGCCCCGAAAAAGCGGTTTCCATCAGATTTCAAAAAAATAATTTTAAATTTTAAGAACACTATAAAAACAATTTTAAAAAGAAATTTAGAAATTTTGATTAATAAAAGAAACAAATGAAGGAAAAAAGAGGAAAAAACAAAAATTAGAACGAAAAATAAGAAATGAACATCAGTTTCCAATAGACTACCTATTTCAAAAATGATCCTAAAATGGTTAGAAGATATATTAGTGCAATATTTTGAAACTACTGCAATTTTATGAGTAAATTTTGAAAAGAGGGATTTTGATTCTTCCCTGTTTACCGTCTTTCTTCTCTCTGTCAATCTTGTGCGGCTCTCACCAGTAATCTCACCATCTCCATAAAATAATAACCGGCCACAATCTGCGGTTTGCCGAGGTACGAGCTTGCTTTTCTTCTCTGTTTCTATTTTATAGATCCAGGTTGTTGGGGTTTGGGAGTACAATTCCGTTACATTTTTTGTATAGTTCACTCTCTCTGCACCATTTACAAACTTTTGGACGGCATATATGCTCTCCAGATAACAAAGATTCGTTCGTACTAACCTTAAATTTCGACCCTCCTTTTGCAAATCCATTGATACCCATTTCGATTTTCATTTCAAATTTCATGTTTTATTTTGGAATTAAGTTGCACAAGTTGAGATTTTCTGTGTGTATTTAAGAGCTCTTAACACTTTTTTATTTCTTTATATTCTAAGTTCATTGGGTGCAACCTGAGTTGAATTCGTTGATTATCAGTGTTAATTTTGTCGAGTACTCAATTTCTTCTCTAACATTTTGGTGTTTTTTTAATGATCTTTGATTTTAGCCCATGAAATCTAGATTTTGATTTTTCTGATTTAAGTTTTGTTGTAGAATTTAGTAATGGGGTGTGATTTTTTCCCCTTACTTTGGAGTAGTTTTGTCTATACTTGAGGGTTTGTTGTTGTTGAAGCGTAAAATTGTAAGTGTACAACAACAAGAACCTAGTTGAATCCCACAAGAGTAGGGTTTGAGGAGGGTGTGTGTACGCAAACCTTACTCCTACTCGAAAGTAGAGAGATAATGAAACTGTTTCCATAGAGACCCACTGCTCAAGCACCACATGTATTCACGTACGCAGTCTGACCCTGATGTTTGAAACATAGAGCGGTTGTTTCCAGATTACACGTGATGGTCGTCGAAAATTGCATTGACTAACTGCTACTTCACTATTAAAAGAAGCCGGTTTAAAGAGCCATATTGCTTTATTCCAGCATACCGTAAAGCCAAAAAATAGTAAATCTTTGGCTCCATTGGAAATTATGGGAAAAAAATACTTTGGAGTAGTTGAAATTTAGGTTGACAGACAAGTGATGCAACATTCTACATTTCTACCTATGGCACAAGGTCTAGCGGGAGCAGGTGGTTGGTTCGCTAGAGAGAGACACCATGAAAGAATATGTGAGCAAGTGTGGTGTTAAGGAGAAGATGCATCTTAAGTCTCTAAAATTAGTGCTAAGTTCCAATTGGGGGGGGGGGGTTAAAAATGTTGTCCTGCATGTGGGGGAGAACATACTCTTCTTAGTGCTAGGCTTTAAAGAAAGAAGCATGAATGATTACAATTTGAGATTCAGGATTAGTTTTTTCGGCTTGCAGGGATTCAAGAGTAGTATTCTTTTCTTGAAGTTTTGTATAGTTTAATCGTTGTGCATGACGTTTTCCATTATTTCTTAGAATTAGAAATTTCCTTGGATTTTTGAATTATTAAAACTGGGGGGGATCACAATCCTCCCATACACAGTGGATTTTGACTAGTTCTCAAGAATCCCAAATCTGACTTCATCTAATTCAATAACAAAAATCAAGCAATCCAACAAACGAGCTTCAAAGGTAAGTAGGCTACCTGTATAGGTTTCAGTTTCTTAGTATTGATTAAAGGACACCATCGATCTTCCACGGCCGATTTTTCCAGACTACAAGTTCACAACCCATCAAAACCAATAGATCTCCCAAATCCATTATCTTTCACACAACCAAATGGTAATGACTGAATAATGAACACCATTGAGTTAACTTTCGAGGAAATCCAACCTAATGAAATTGACAGTTCCCTATAACTTAAGGGCATGACTTGCATGCCTAGAATGCCAACTAATTAGAAGGTCAAATTTTATTTTCCTTCTTATTTTCCAAATAAAGCCAGCGTGATTTTTTAAAAACAAATATTAGTCATTAACATTATCTTTTGTTGCTAAACTTTTTCCACTACATCTTGGTGCAAAATGAAAATTCCATCCCAAAATTTTATCATACCCATCAAAAGGTCTAATCAAACACCCTCTAGCAGAATAGGACAAAATTTTGTTCTGTCATTGTGTAATTTGCATAGCAGTTTTACCTGTCAGCAGTTGGGATGCCTAAATATTAATGTAATCAAGTCTATACTCCTTATATCGATGATAGATTGATAGATTCATAAAGTCTCTGGTATGAAAACTCTGATCCCATTCAAATATCAAAGATAGATAGAAGATATAGAACTCCCTCTCCCCCATAGTATTTGTCTAGTATTTCATTTTGGATCGTCCCTCAGTATTTGTCCACTTTTCTATTTTGGCAATAAAACTTACACATTTCCAATTTTACGCTCTCAAATTAAACACCTTACCCCATTTACTCCCAAACCACCCAAATTAAAATTAAATTCTCATCCCTGCTACATTAAGATCTAGAATCTTGAACCCTCCATTGGCTCCACTTTGTATCTTCATCTACCATCGACGGGGATAGAGATGGTGATTCCCGATGTCGGCGAACCCTAGCCCCGGCCTTATTTTTGATGGACCGCAAGGTACGATAATAGCAGAGTTAGGATCTAAAAATCTAGATCTAAAATGGGCTTTGGGTGGAATTAGATTAAAAGTCAGTGACCTATTTCACCGTCGTTCTCTCATCTTCTCCATATCTCCACCTGTAGCTCAATATCACTCAAAAGTCTAGATCTAAAATGTGTTTTCTGATTTTTTACCTTTTGGGTTTGAAAGCAGAGGAAGGTGGAATTTCTTATTTATTTGACTTCTGAATTCAACCATAATGACGGTGGAGGGCGGCGGCGTATTATGGCAGCATGGTGGAGGTCATTGAGTGTTGGGGGTGGAGCGTTTTGAGGGCATTGGTGTGGGTTTGTGCTGCAGTTGATTGTGTTGAGTTGTGATGGACAAGCAAGGGCATTATTGACATTTTACCCCTGAGGGAGTACATGCATTCATAAAGCATCTGTATGATTTTATTTCTGGATGTTCCAGAATTTTGGGATTATCAGTAAGGAAATGGGTGAAGAAGATGAGACTTCACAAGTTACTAGAAGAGCCACTAGACTATCAGCATCATCTGGGGCACTAAAAACAAATGATGTTGCGCCGGAGTTGAAACCTCGCATGGTAAACGATCTTGCTTTTGGGAATGAATCCATTACCTTTGATGAGTTGATGTCCAGTTTACCTGGAAGGCAGCCTCAAATTCGTGAACTTTTGCATTTATTAGGGCCCTTGAATTCCCCGATTTATCCACTTTTCATGTACGGTGGTGCTTCTGTGGGGAAAACAAGCACAATCCTTCAGACTTTTAAGTATCTAAAGAGGCCATTTGTGTACTGTAGCTGCATAACTTGTTATAGTCCTAGGATCTTGTTTGAGTCCGTCTTGAACCAGTTGCTGCTGCACAGAAGAACCGAAAGCAACGGGTATTCTAGTGCAAAGCGGTGTAGTGATAGGCCCTCAGATTTTGTGAATCTCCTACAAGAAGCCCTTGCTAAAGTTTTTGATGATTTGAAGAGGAACGAGGAGATGCAAGAATGTAATAAGAAGTCAGCTCAAAGGAATGCGAATGGGAGGATGATTTACTTGGTATTTGATAATTTAGAGCTCATGAGGGGATGGGACAAGCATGAGACACTGCCCTTCCTGTTTAAACTCAATGATGTTCTGAAGAGGCCAGAAGTGGGGTTCATCTTTGTTAGTCGGACATCTCCCGACACTTATTTCTCTGACAATGTGGGGTGCGTGGAGTTTGTTGATGTTTACTTTCCTGATTACACAGAAGATGATCTTCGCCAAATCTTAATGAGGAACCAAGCAAACCCAAAGCTGTATTCATCCTTTCTAGGGTGAGTTTTCGTCTCCTCTCTTTCTAGCTGTTGATTGCCTGCCTGTTATAGTTCCTCTTGGCACTAACCCCTTGTATTATTTTATTTATGTTTTTAATGGGTAGTGTGGTGCTGAGATCTTTCTGCCGAGTCACAAGACGAATTGATGAGTTGTCTGCTGCATTGTCACCACTATTCAAGATATACTGTGAGCCCCTTGATACTGGTGCAGTTCCTAACCAAGAGATGACCAATAGGTTGATTAATCACCTCAAACCACATATCGGACGATCAATGAATGAGGTCTTCAAAGTGTTGTCCAGACCCTCCTCTGAAACAACTGCCTCTAACGAGACCAAGCATAATAAAGTCTTTGAAAGTAAATCTTCTGGCCAGGTCGACTTTCACATGTCTGTGTGTGCAAAATATCTTCTTATTTCTGCATTTATTGCTTCAAGAAACCCAGCAACGCTTGATGCCTCCCTCTTCGATCCAACTGGAGGATGTAGCAGTCGGAAGAAGAAGAGAAAGTAAGAACTCCCCCCAGCTTCTGTTGGAAGGAATTACAGTACATGGTTTCGTTTCTTGCTTATACATGTTCTTTTGTTTTTGTTTTTCAGGGTCTCTCAGAAATCAGTGGAGCAGAAGGAGATTACAGAGCAAGAATCTCTCATGAAAGGACCAGGCACTTTCCCTTTGGAAAGATTATTAGCCATATTTCAGTGTATAACATCCATTGATGAAGAAGAAGAGGCTACAGAAGGGAAGAGGCTGGAGAATGGATTGACATCAGATGTTCTCTTACAGTTATCAAGCCTTTGCAATGCTAATTTCATCAGCAAAGGAGGAAGCTGCCCACTGGAAGGCTCAATACGGTATCGATCTTTGGTGTCTGAAGATTTGGCCCTCAAGGTATACATTCTTCAAGCAACTTTTTATTTACGTATTTATTATCACTTGGAAATGTTCTTCGATGTTTTAGTGTTTCACCGTATGATCACAGGTTGCTCGGAGCCTGCAATTTCCTCTGTCGAAGTATTTGTACAGATGACGTTTGCTTGTTGCCCTCTGCAAATGTTAGCACTTCACACTCAATATAAAGAAGATGGCATTATCGGCATATGGGCTCACGTAATGCCATCATCCCTACGAGTCAGACTGCAAGGATGTCAAACCTTGAAAAGGGTATTTTGATAATGTCTCATTGATTGGTGATTGTAAAACTCTTGTATGAGAGGATTTGCATTAAGGTTTAAAATTTTAATAGTGTAGATTAATTTTGAAAATGCTAAATGCTACTGTAAAATAGTCTTTTCAAAATGCTAACATTAAACTCTAATGTTGTTGCCAAACAAATACTCGAAGTGGGATTCTTTCTCCTTGTTATTGGCTTGGCAGGCAAGGCTTTCTCTCTTGTATTTGTCAAGTTTGACTTTTTTCAAGTCAAATTCGATGAATTTTAAGTTTCAATTATTCTTTATTTGTATTGCATATCATTGTCATGAAATAAAATTTTGAGAGTTCTCAACAAATAAACTTAATATAATTATTTTTATGTTAAAATATATTATAATTTATATTTGGGTTGTGTTTGGTTGGGGGTAAAATATTTTCCAAAGGAAAATAATTTTAAAGAAATTATTCTTCAATCATATTTTTCATTGTTTGGTCGAAAAATATTTTCCTTTATTAATGTCACCAAACACAGGAAAAAAGAATCAGAATTTTCTTGAAAAATATTTTACACTCAACCAAATACACCATTAATTAAAGTTTCAAGTTTATCTTGTCTGATTCAAAAAAATCAAACTGGATAAATAGATGGAGAAAATAATACTCCGGGTAATAATGATCCATAAATGAAGAAACTACAACACCCATAAGAATCTTCAACATGCTAAGCTAAGAAGCTTTATCAACAAAAACCAAAACAGTGGACTCCAAAAGCAATAATAGTTACAACATACTAGTAGAGATTTGATCATCAGTACAGTCACACACACACACACAATACAGATACTGGTTTTATAAAAGGAGGAACACATCCATAGTTGCAACACAAACAATACATAAAACAAATTAGGTGGTCGAATCATCTTCTTCATAAGCTTCTTCATCTTCATCTTCATCTTCATAAGTTGCTTCCACTCTTGAATGGGATGGCTCTGATGACAACTTGATGGTACAGTGCAGCAAGTGCAGCACCAATGAACGGTCCAACCCAGAAGATCCAATGGTCATCCCAAGCGTGACCTTTGTTGTAGATGATGGCCGCGCCCAGGCTGCGAGCTGGGTTGATACCCGTACCCGTGATGGGGATGGTGGCCAAGTGAACTAAGAAGACTGCAAACCCTATTGGGAGTGGAGCCAATATAGGGACATGGGAGTCTCGGGCATTTCTCTTGGCATCGGTGGCAGAGAAGACGGTGTAGACAAGGATAAAAGTGCCAACAATTTCAGCCCCGAGGCCATCCCCCTTGGAGTAACCGTGCGCCACCACATTCGCTCCTCCACCATTAGCCCCATACAGTGACGGCTGGAAGCCCTTCACCACCCCGGCACCGCATATGGCTCCCAGGCATTGCATCACAATATAGAAAACCGCCCTTGTCAGCGACAATTTCCTCGCCAGAAACAGCCCAAATGTCACCGCAGGGTTGATGTGTCCACCTGTATGTGTTCGGAACCACCGCGCCAACAAAAACATTTCAAGTATTAACAAAATATACTGCAAATAAACACTAGAACTGCTTGTCCCAACATTCTTACTATATTTTCTGCTCCAGCTAAGTTTGAGACATGGTTGTTGGGATGTTAAAACAAGATAAATTGAATAAACTAAATGGGTGTTATTTTATAAGGAATTTGTTACAAAAGGACCGGATATTGTCCCATGGACAAATCATTTCTATGATAAAGAAAGGGAGGGTGGGGCAAGCTTGGTCCTTTTGTGTGTATGGACACATTAATTATGAATTACTCTGATTTTTAAAATCATTAAATTTGAAGTAACAAATACTCTTCCGCCCCTTTTCTTTTTTGATTTACCTCAGGGTCCGTTTGGTATAAGGAATTGGTGAAATTGGAATTGAATTGGAATTAAAATTCCATGGGATTCAATTCCATAGAATTGAATTCTGTCAATTTCAATTCATTTTTTGCACTATCAATTCCAAATCCACATAATTTTTGTGCTACCAAACACCAGAATTGGAATTGAAGTCTCCAATTCCAATTCCATAGTTTGAATTCCATGTACCAAACAGGACCTCATAGTCCATTTGGTATACGGAATTGATGAAATTGGAATTGAATTAAAATTAAAATTCCATGAGATTCAATTCCATAGAGTTGAATTCACCCATTCCAATGCATTTTTTGCACTATCAATTCCAAATCCACATAATTTTCGTACTATCAAACACCAGAATTGGAATTGAAACCCTCAATTCCAATTCCATAGTTTGAATTTCGTATACCAAACTAGGCCTCAAAATAATTTTCTAATTTATTCAATTTTTACCTAAAGGTATACACTCTTCTTTTCACAAAACAATTCTGCCATAAAATAAAATTACCAGACTTTAGAAATATGTTTTGAAAACCCGATATTGGCGCCTATTTTCCAAAAGAGAATTACTTAAATAGCACTAAAACATAATGACTTTTCTCAAATAGCATCATATGTGTTTTTTTCAATGTAGCATTATTTTTAGTCATCATCCATTAATTATAATTCGAGTAAATGTTCAACCATCAATGCATTCCTCTTTCTGGACATTATTAAGTGCTACTTAGGGAACAAAACAATTTAAATACTATTTTGAAAAATGATTAAGTTCTAGTGCTATTTAGTGCAAATATTTCTTTTCCAAATCTTTGGTCCAAAGATAGCAAAGGGATTAGAGTAATATTTATCAGATGCAGTAACATTAAAAAGAAAATGATGAGTGCACCTTAGATCTATCTGATGGAGGGAGTATTACAGTGAGTGGAGCACACATACATACATACATACATACATACATATGCATACCTGAGATGCCGGCGGTGCAGTAGACGAGGGCGAAGATCATGCCGCCGAAGGCCCAAGCGATGCCCTGGACGCCGACGGTGGCGCACTTGCTGGCGGATCTGGAGTAACCCATCACCGTCAGCACCGTGATGTACAGGAACAAGAAGGTGGCCATGAACTCCGCGATCCCCGCCCTCCAGAACGACCACGAGTGCAGCTCCCCCGGCTCGAACAGCGGCGCCGGCGGCGACTCCCTGTAGTCCTTCCCCTGCGCCGACGTCCCCAGCGGCATCCTCTCCGAGTACTTGTTTGCCCCCACCTTCACGTCTTCCTCTTTCCCCTCCATCCTCCCCCAAATCTAATCCCTCTCTCTCTCTCTCTAGAATTTAGACCCCCACCCACAGTGAGCAGAGCAACAAGAAAGAAGCTTTGATTTTCTCAGACGCAGACCGGAGTTAATTTCCCTTGCTCCAATTGCTGCCATAGTGGGATTATATATTACCGACTCTAACCTTGTCTTGACCTAAGACCTGCTCTCTCACTAAAAATCTTAATTTTTTTTAAATTCATCTTATTTACATATTACTCTGTAATATTTAAATAAAAATAGTACATACATTTTAACAAAATATATTAAAAATTTATAAAATAAGATTTTACAAGAATATTTTATCGTGTAATCTCTTATTTTATGTTCTTTAAGAGGCAATTCGAGTGACATGAACCTTCCATGTCATTCGATGACATGAGCCTCAATTAGGACATCTACGATGCTTCCTTCGAAGAATTAATGGTTTATATACCCCTCCAAATTCCCACGATAAACCACATATCCCGGCCCAGCTCGAACATACCTCGTCAATTACATGTCACAAGATTTTAGTTGACTTGATTCTAAAGTCAACTAAATTTTGTGGGAAACAATTCATGGGAGTACGAGGTATGTTCGGACTGGATCGGGATAGAGATTTACTGAGAGAGTAGAACCTTCAAGTTTTTGAACAAAGCATCCTATTAACTTTATTAACTTTGGTATGAATTTTTATACGAGTATTAAAATAAGTTGATCGATAATTTTAAAAGGATAAAGTATATGCACCACAAGATAAGATAACATGGCTTCGCTGGCGCACAACACAAGTTCTCCAGGGTTATCATTTGCCACCTCAATTCTTCAATTATTTACACAATTTGCCCCAATGTGTTGTTGGGAAATGATGGTCGGCCAGCTCATGAAGTCAATAAAAGTTATATAAAAAAAAGCAACAGATGCAAACGGTCTCATATGTCTCCACATGAAATACTACTCATATGTCATTTGAAAATCATTGCAACGGACAAAAACCCCACATCTAACCGACTAACCCTAATATAATACTCTTCGTTTTTAAGTCCCAAAATATTTGTCACACTTGTTTTTAAGCAATCGTAAGAATTTATGTTTATTTTTACGTTTTCATTGGTTATTTGATAAAATAAAATATTCTTGACATCTCATATTTTGAAAAACTTTTCATGTAATTTTTTGATATGTAAATTTTATTTTTTATTTCTATACAATATATAAATAAAATGAATTGAAAAAATTTGATATTTTACCTCGTTAATAGAAGTGTGACAAATATTTAGGGACGGAGGGAGTAGAGAATTAACTAAGACGAGGAGTGTCAAGAGAATAAGATTCGAGTTGGATTCTTGCCACATGCGTTGGTGAATAATTATGCTAAGTATATGATGTCAGTATCTATTTAAATTTATAATCTTTTCGAAATTATTTTAAAATCATTTTATATTAGATTTAAGTAGAACTAAAAAATAAAATTAAGGTCTTACAAAATAAGTTGTGACATTATTACATTTTTATCAAACAATTAACAAAAAACTAATAAAAAAGTGAATGAATTTTGACCATATAAATAGTAAATAAGAGTTTAATTTGGGACAGAGGAAGTATATATAATATAATAAGTGTGCATTTTCTTTTATAATCACCTTTTTACTCAATTAATGCTCGTAGTGCTCCACATCCACAACATTTTTCTTTATCAATAAGGAGGGGGAGACCCCGAGCTAGTAGCTCCGTGAAGTAGAGATAGCGTGTCGCATAATAGTGATACTCATCATATTGTCTGTACTTAAGTTTTTCAAATCTACAGTAGGGACCTCAAAAGTTCTCTATAAAATGTCTCGAAGAGTCCCAAGGTTTGCAAGACGATCCGCAATCTTATTTTGTTCACAAAAGAAGGCTTTAAAGTTGATTCTATAAAATTTGTCCATCCAACTCTTTATCGTTGTAATGATATTACTGATGGGTCTCCTCAAACTCGTCAATCTTGCAATCTATTTGACAACTTCTCTAGCATCAGTCTGCACCTCAAGATCCCTCACCCCCTACCCCATGCCCATCGGATGCCTTTTTCAATGGCTTTAGCCTTGATTTCCTCGATATTATTTGGTCTAGTTCTTAGGGAAAAACCACCCAACTATTCTTTGTTATTGTTCTGAATGACTCCGCCGCACCCAGCTCTATTTGCCATAACTTTATTGTTTCTATCAACATTAAGAGTGAATTCATGGTCAACTGTTGGATTTTACTTTAGTAGAGGATCGCTTACATTCAGCAAAGAGGGGGCTGTTGCATGATTTTTTGTCGAATTCCCCTTCAATCTCCTTGATTGATTCCTTGATTCAAGCCACTTTATACTGCGTGTCAATGTCGTCTCCACCGAAGGCCACGTAGTTTTGCCACCTCCAGATCCTCCAACATGTGACGAAGAAAGTGACAACCTAGTTATAGTTATCATGTTGCAGATAGTTGAAAAAATAAAGAAATTGCAAACTGCCAGAAACCAATTCCACCTGTCTGTATGGTTTTCTTCTGCGACGGAAATTGTCCGTCGCAGGTAGTAAAGGGAGTAATGGTAGTGTTAGTCTCTGTCACAGATCGGCGACGGCAATGTAGTGTCCGTCGCAGATAATGAACATTGCCAGATTGTGTCCTCCATCGCAACTCCGTCATTGTTTAGCGACAGATATTCAAGTCTGTCGCAGATTACTGGCTTGCGACGCCATATCCGCGATGATGGGTTGTACGTCGCAAGTCCGTCGCAGATCACGAATCTGCTACGGCTTTTACGGAACTGCGACGGAATTAATCTGTTGCAGATCCGGAAGATTCTTGTAGTGACTTTTTGTCTCCTTAATTTTGCGCCAACCCATTTCTTCATTTCCTTGTGACCTCCATTACTACCTATACCTCCATCACCAATAACATTCCAAATCTATCTTGCTTTTGAGCAAGTCCTAAAGATGTGAGAGGTGGTCACCTCATGGTCTCCGCAAAGAGGGCAAGAGCTATCCGAAGTACGGCTTCTTTTCTTTTGCTCAACACTTCCCATCATCTTCTCATGGAAAATAGTCCACAAAAGGAGCTTCATCTTGCTTGGCACTTTAATCTTCCAAATCATAGACCACCTTTCTCTTTGCATGATGTTCTTAAAATTCCTTGATTAGATTATAAGCCAAATTAATCAAAAATTTACTTTTAGGATCATGCTTCCAACTCCATGACCTGACATTGTATAAAAGAAATAGTGTTAGGTGGGAGGTTTGGGATTTTCTACCAACTCCACCTACTAGAGCCATTCCAAAATTCAACAACAATAACATACAAGTTGTGTTCACTGTTGAAATCCCAAAGTGGTTTTTCACGGATCCAAGTGTCAAGATAGAACCTCGTTCTTTTCCCATTATGATCTTGGCAGTGAATGTCAGCTTTAATCAGAGGCATAATCGTCATGATTCCTCACCAAGCATTACACGCTCCCTTCTTGTACACAAAAATATTTTGCCCACCTTTGCCTTTAACATATTTAGACATCAAGACATTGGTCCTAAGAGAATCTCCTTCACTAAATTGTCTCCAACCAAATTTAGCAATGAAATCTTGATTCATTTCCTAAGCAGTTTTGATCCCCAGGCCACCCAATTCTTTAGGTTTTGCGATTTGTTCTCACTTCACAAGATGGCATTTATGTTTATCACTTGGGCTACCCCATAAAAAGCCCCTTACTTTTTTATCAATAGCTTTCAGAACCCCTATCGGTAGCATCATTGATTGCATGACATAGTAAGGAATGGTGGTAAGTGCTCACTGAGCAAGAATTCTACGAGCATCCATTGTTAAGGAGCTTGGTTCTCCAACCTTCCAATTTTGTGTCTAGTCTATCAAGAATGGCACCAAATATGTCTTTAACGACTCTTCCGTGGATAGAAGAGACTCCTAAGTATTTTCTGAAGTCATAGCACATGGGGATGCTAGCAAGCTCAGTGAAATCTTTTTGGACTTATGGAGGCTGACTTTCTATCCAAAAGCTCGACTAAATTTATCAAGGCAGTCATTAATAATCTTAATTTGATCATGTGTGGCCTCTGCAAAAACAACTAAATCATTAGGAAAAAAGAGGTTAGAAAGTGTAAGACCATACCTGGACGAGCAGATTCCCCTCTATTTCCCTCTCTGAACAGTGTCTTTAATAAGATGATTCAGTCTATCCATGCATAAGAAAAAGAAGTAAGGCGAGATGGAGTCTCCCTGCCAGTTTACTCTCAAAGGTTGAATCCACTCCAGTTGCTTACCATCCTAAATCATGTTTAATCTAGTTATTTCCACACAAGCCATAATGTTTCTGGTCCAATCCTTGTTCATCCTAATTTTATTTAAGGTGTCTTTAATAAAATTCCAATTGAGTCTATGTTTTCTCAAGGTCAATTTTGAGGACCATATATTTTTCCCTCTCTGGCTTTATGCATGATATAGAGGACCTCTTGGTAAATCAAAATGTTATCAACAGTTTGCCTTCCTGGAACAAAGCTACTTTGCTCGGGCCCAACAAGATCACGAAGGATGGGTTTTATTCTACTTTACGACCCATCCCTCCCCCCACCACAATTAATTGTCATTGGACGGAATGGGCAGAATTAGAAAACAATGTAAAATAATATGATAAATTGATGATAGATTGATAAATGTTACTCCATATATAACAAAATTAGGAACACATGTAAATAATTAAAATTTTATTCAAAAGTAATATATATTCCAAATATATCCTATTCGAAATATATCCAAAACTAATCCAAAAGATATTTGAATAGAAAAAATCTAAACTACAACGGATTCCATTGATCCAATTGACAAGTTAGAGGCAACACACATGTCTTCCCGCTAATATATCAATCAAATTGAATAGCTGAATTGCAAAGAGAGAGCTTATTGATTGTCGCTCCACCTATACGAATCCAGAAGGTAGCGGATGATCCAGAATACCAAAAAAATCGAAGCAATTCGTCTCCGCAGCTCACCGGTTTGTTAGGATTCTGACATCCATTGGATCAGCATTCGGCCTAGATTGGAGCAACGAGTCTGCAAAATGAAGCTCAACATCAACAAGGCCTGCGATCTCAGCTCCATCTCCGTTCTTCCACCTCATGCTAGGTTCGATTTCATCTATGAAGTTCATATTTCGCGAACCTGTTTGTTCGTACTTCGAATCGTGCTTCCATATGCGTTTTTTGATTGTTGATCTTATATTTTAACACTGATTGAATTGGCAGTGGTAATTACCTGTAGAAAGCATTAGATTAGATGTTTGTCTACACTCGAGAACACAGGGCAAATCTGATACTATTGTTTTTTTTTTAATTTGGAAATTCGGAAAAGGAGAACGAGTGTTGGACCGACTGGAGCAGAGACCTCCGTTTTTGGGAAAATTCAAACTGCACAATTCCGTTCCCAGCAATCTCAGCAGTCCTTTTCTCAAGGAGTTTCATCTCAGCCTGGAATGTTCTCTCAGTTCTCTCAGAACTCTCTCGATGAAATTGCTACAAGCGAGCAGGTACTGCATCTGATTCGAGTTTGTTAGTCTCTGTAGTAATGTTTGCTGGTGGCTCTTGTCTCTGTAATAATTCTGGCGGCTCCATGTTTTAGTTCACAAAGTGTGACTAAAGGGCTTGCCTAATGAGATTACTAGAATGCTTTTTGGGTTTAACTAATTTGAATATGAATTATAAGAGAGTAATTGAGTTCAATGACGAGTGCAATTTTTTGGAAAATTCAAACTGCACAAAGCCATATATAATTACAACTCTGTGTGATAAAAATAATTGAGAAACTGTTTCCCTCATACTTGTGAATTGTGATGCATTTACTAGTCATACTCATTGCCCAAGCTAAACTCTGCAATCATGATGTAATGTTTTAGAGATTCGATTCTCAAGAAAAAGAGAATTCTACAAGGAGAACATCTTGTTTGCCTCTGATCAACCACACAAAAGAAGAGAGTCAATTGCAGTTGCCAAGGAACTCAAGCAGTTACATGCATAAGCGATCTGCCAATGAATTCAGATGTATGTCTGGCTTTCAGCTTAACTAGTTTGTTAACCTCAGTTTCTTTCTAATTGAATGGCAAAACTTTTTCCTAAAGAGTGATATCAGGGATTAACTGCAATTTGGGATATCTTTGATTAATTTTAGAAATATCATTTCACAAATAGGAAGTGTTAATTTGATGAACTGCTGCTGAATTGTTTATTTAACAGGTCAAACTAGCGAACAACTTGAACACAGAATTGGAGTGATGGAAACATCAATGAATAGGTTGGGAATGGTCCTTGACTCCATCCAGAGTGACATAATACAAGTTAAACGAGGAATAAAAGAGATGTCATCAGGGAGTAAGTATTTGATACACTATGTACACATGGTCAGAACAAAAATCCATCCAAATGGCTTCTCCCTAAGAACTCTTTTCATGACTACTGCTACGCCTCTGAACATCTAGTGTAGAGCATGAAAAGTACATTAATATGTTACTACCTGTCTATACCCCTGAACATCTAGTGTAAACAATGTTTATGTTTTGCTGTTTTGTTTATTTTAATTGTCAGCCGAAAGCTTATGGAAGAAGTTGGTTGCTCATAATGAAGCAGTGCAGTTGATGGTAACAATAGGGCAATACCTGGCCCAGTCTTCTTTTCTTATTCATATGTGCATGCTTTTTTGGCGTAACTGCATGTATTTTTCTACTAGCAAGTGCTTAACTTCTGACTGGAGAAAATGGTATAATTCAGAGCTCTGGACAAGAAAATATCAAAGCAAGCTTTGAAGGACTCTCCAAATCCATGAGTGAGGAGCTTAGGCAGAATTCACCTCAAGAGCACCTCAAAGAGATATCCACTATCGTTTCAACACTGCCTGAAAAAATTGAAACTTGTATCGTCAAATTACGAGATGATCTCAAGAAAAGCTTGATGGAGGAAATACAGGCAAGTATCCTGATAAATTTTGAATATTTGATGAACATTATTGCATGCATATTTGAGTGCTGCAAATGAGTTCATGGTTTTTTTTAATCTATACTAATGGCCTTAATAGCTTTGACCTACTTTTTGAAATGCAGGCTGTGGCACATAGCATGAAGGCTCCCTCTCAGAAATTTGCAGTTTCCGCTTCTCAACCTGAAGTACTCTTTCTTTCCTAGAGATAATGCTACGGAGTAAATCTTTTTTAGCGCCTTTATTTTCTTTGATTGCATTTTTTAACAACTTGGTTTTTGCAGGTTATCAACAACCGTATTGCTTTGCTTGACCTGCAATATTTGAAGTATGCTCCTAAAATTTTAACCATTCATTCGTCGTTGCTAGTTTATTTTCTTGCAATGGTATAATCCTTATTAACATGTACTTAATGCTACGAACTTCTCAAGTACCATATCTGCACTGCCTCAAATAAGAGACATTCGTTAGGTCACGCAGAGGTTACTTTCAACTCCTCTACTAGGAATTGAATGTTATCCTAGACTTAATAAACTATTGGATACTCATTGTATGAGAACTGTGTTGAATGGCCTACTGTTAAGGACCAACCCCTGATGTCTCAATGATTTCCTTCTTCATTCTATAGTGTTGAAAAGCATGGCAATGAACAAGCTCCATCTTTCCCGAAGATTGAGATGGGAAGCTGGAATTCTGTAAGAGATAAACCAGCCAACAAGAACGGAATAAATTCCAATCAAAGACTCAACAGGGACTTATCCTATGTTCAACAGGTAAACCTTTGTGTCTACATAAATGTCCACCGGTTCACAAGGGACTACATTTTGGTGCATTCTTGATAAATATCAGTTTTGCAGGAAACGCAGCATAAGGTTACGGTAGGCCTAGAAGAGGATAGTGACGAAGGGTTTTCTTGCTTGCTTAATGACCGGGGATCTGGTAATATCACTTGTTTCAATTGCCATTAACTATAGCTATCAAGTACTCATCTGACGTTCAGATGAATTTTACACAATGGATCAAGTAAAAACCAAAATACATTTCCTGAAATTAGGTTCCGTGAATTACACAATGGATGATTCAAAAGAAGATATTAAACGGATGCTGCGGAAAGCCAGGAGGAGAAAGAGAAAGCACTGTAACACGGTTATTATAGATTGATTGGTGATGACAAGTTAGTTTACCATTTCACCCTCATCTGTTGTTTTACCAGTAGCAAAAGCCATTTGTTATTGTTAGTAAGTAAATTAAATTGTACACTCTTCCCTTTTTCACCTCAATATACCCGTGAGAAAAATATTCAGCCTGCCTGGTAACGTATTACTCCTTACGTTGCTTCCATTTTGTGATTTGATAAGAATGAAGGAGAAGAAAAGTGCATGTTCCCGAGTATAATGATACGTAAGTAAACATGCAAAGTGAATGGTGGGGATGAATCAGCTCTTTCCAACACGTAACAAAACCTTTTATCAATCCCCACTATAAGACAGTGTAATTAATTAAGAACACAAACACCACCCAAAAACAACACAAGGTTGATTATGAACATCATGAGGACGATGATCGGAGCTTTGGTTGTAAGCTTGTTCCTTGGCACATTTTCTGTCTCAAACAGCCTCCCAACTGGCGGTCGCCGGACACTCGAAGAGCAAAGCTCTTCATCCAACTCCACCATATGGAACCCTTATGAACTGCGACCACCGACACCTCCAACCTACCACTCTCCTTGGTTCCCGCACGAGAGTTTCTACAGTCGTTTTGACCCATCGGTCGCGGATATCATCAGGAAAGAAGTACAAGATATACTGTCAGAGTGGAGGGACCACCATCTTCCTCCACTCTACCACTGCCGCTACACTTGTGACCAATACATCCTGCGTAAGCCGCCAACTGGTGAGAAACCCAACCCAACATCGCCCGTAAAACATAACACAACCCCTCATGACAAACCAGCACAACCACATGCTCCGGGGAAACATAACCCAGACCCAACACCACATGCGAAACACAACCCAAACCCAACACCACCACCGCATAGCGAGGTCCACTGCCCTACAATGGACACAGTGATTCAAACTTGCACAAAGATGCACCCACATGAGACAGTAAACGGTGTTTACTCGTGGAGTTGCACGCACAGCGATGACTGTTGCAAGAAAACGGTTAATGTGCAAGACGAGTGCATGAATCTCAATCCAACAATCAGTTGGGTTAAGACTATCTGTTGCACTGACAATACAACTAAAGGAGGAGATGAACCCAATGCGTGATTCGATCTCATAATGTCCATGAAGTTCGTATCACAACCATGATTTTATATTTTATTGTTCTTATTTATGATCTTAGCTAATGTCTCAGTCCAACTATTTTGCTTGATGCTATCCAAGTCTGCACAGGTGACACTAAGACCAAATGCTTGAAGATGAAACAATAATCATATATCCTAAGTTGGGATCATATTCCTTTGGATATATAGACCAATAAAAGGAACTCCTGAAAATAACTAAACCTACTCTGCATTATGATATTCATAATCGTTCCTTTAAACCCACATCTAAAGAACTACTGTATGTGTTTAAATAGACTAATATAATATATATTGAATCATTACGCTCAGCTCAACTTCCCTTCATTTGACTGATCATTACTACATGTTTATAGCAACACACTATAGAACCAATCATCAATCACCACAAACCCATTAAACCAAGATATTTAGCTCTCTTTTTTCAGGTAGGCTAGTTAACAGTGTAATATTCTTAAAAAAAGCCATGAGTATATTTATGTTTTCAGCACTAGCAGCTAATGGGATTAAGCAGCTTTGAAATTTAGTATGAAAGCAAAGATCAAATCGTAAAAACAATGATCTGTTCTCAAAGAATAACAAGTGAACAATCTTCCACGGCTCATAAATGCTACGAAGTTCATGAGCTGCGATAGATGAAAGTCAAAACCAGACGATTAAAGCATCACGAACTAGCAGTATTCCCTTCCCAATCTGTGCAATGGGTGCTATCAACCCTTCACTTGAAATTCTTAATTCACATTCTATACCCTGTTTTAGAGACACAGAAAAAAACTCAACTGAAAATTTAAGAAAGAAAACAGGCATCATATGGATAAAGGTAAATCTCAAATCCAGGAAGGAATACAAAACCAACTCAACACAAGAGAGACGATCATGGTCACCAAAACAGGACATATGTTTGAGAAGTTCGATTACAAAGAGACTTCAATTAAAACTGACAGTGAAATTGACCCGGTTCATCAAGATACATACTGAGTCTACTGCTGCTGATTCTGATGAGGCTGCATTCCGGGACGAGGTGGGCCATACATGGGAACCTGGCCTCCCGGAGGGGGCATTCCAGGGCGAGGAGGTTGACCAGGGGGCATACCAGGGCGAAGGGGAGCTCCGGGTGGTGGTGGACCCCTCATCATCTGAGGTGGAGGCATCATTGGCCTCTGACCAAACTGGGGTGGGAACTGCCCTGGTGGAGGAAGACCTGGTCGGAACTGTGGTGGTGGTGGCATAGGTGGCCCTCCAGGTCTAGCCATCATGGGTTGCGGTGGTGGAGGCATTTGTTGCCCAGGTGGAGGTCTCATCATGGGCGGCTGTTGAGGGTAATTGATGGGCGGAGCAGACACCTGAGGCATAGGAGGCCTCGCTAAGTGGGGCTGCATCATCCCCGCAGCAGGCCCACCAAGGCCACGAACAGGCCCGGCAAGTCCGGGCTGAGCTTGAACCAATGGCCCTGTAGGAACACCCCTTCCGGCGGCGCGACCCATCCCTGGTCCGGGAACAGCATTCGCAGCAGAAGTAGCCTTCAGGCGGGACTCGTCAGGAGGAGGTGGGCCCTCAACGGCCATGGATACGACCTCTTCGCCGCGGAGGAGGATGAGGCCAAGCGTTCGGCGGTCTTCGCGCTCTTCCTTGGATCCCTTCGTCGGCGGGAGCTTCCGGAACTCTTCACAGTCGCCGAGAACGAGATTCATGTGGCGGTCAAAGGCCATGAACTTGCCGATCAGCTGACGGCCATCCTGGATCGTGACTCTCATCCGATAATTGATGTACTGTAGCATCTTCGAACTCTTCGACATCGACATTTTCGCTGAATCTCTGGTGTGGACGTCTCTAGGGTTTTGCCCGTTTGAAGAGAAGACGAAACCCTAGGGCTTGCGATGAAGGAATGAGGCGCTGGATTCAATCGGATACTCCGTATTTCGAACTTTTTATATAGAGTGAAAACTATTTCCCCCCGGAGTATCAAACATTTACACTCTTGTTAAAAAAATTGGTTATTGTGTTTTTATTAATTATTTAATGAAAAAAATAAATTCTTCATTTCTTATTTTGTATAATTTTTTAATCTATTTTTTAAATATGTACATTTTATTTTTTATATTTTCATATCAATCTTAAACTAAAATGAATTGAAAAAACATGAAATTGTATTTCATTTTGCGCAAAGTATAATTTATTTAAAGATGGAGAGAGTAAAAATTTTGAAAATTACGAAGTACTACATAGTACTCTATATTAAACCGTCTGTTTCAGTTCACGATGTTTGGTTAAAATTATTTTCAATTTAAAATTGGGATAAAATTAAAAAATTATTTATACAGACTATATGTCAAAACTACATAAAAAAAAATCTTTCATTATAAAGTTTGATTGTTAGAATTGTAAATACTCTGTATACAATCTGATTGCGGAAGTAAAAAAAACAAACTTACCTCAATATTCTACTAAATGATTAATTTTACATTAATACTTTAAAATTAAATAACTAATTAACATCACCATAGAAGTTTCACATGATTTTACATTAAATAACTCATTAAATTCACCATAGAAGTTTCACGTTTATTTCGTGAGCAATGCTAGATTCACAAACAAAATAGTTACAAAAATTACAAACTTACCACTTATGATTCAAATTTTTATTTTGACACTATTTTAGACTAATTTATTATTTTTATTGAAGTTTACAAATACTTCCTAATAAGTTTGTGAATTTTATAATCATTTTGAATATTAGTATACTATTGATATTTTAAATAAATATAAAAATGATTTTTATATTAGTCAACAACAACAACAACCGCCTAGTAGAATCCCACAAATGCAGGGGATTGTACGCAAACCTTACACCCACTAAAAGTAGAGAAGCTGTTTTCAAGAGTCAGCTCAAACAACACAATAATCATGTTTTTTATATTAGTATGCTATTGATATTTTGAATAAATATAATGATGTTTTGAGACCATTTAAACTTTTTTAAGCATTATAATCTTTTTATGCATAATCGATATCAAAGGCTGTGTTGTTGAAATCGAACCGAACATAACCGACTATAACACATACTCCGTATTCAAAATATATATGAACTAAGTAAATCCAGACCGGAATCAATTCTATTGATCCAACTCAAACTCTTCAATCTTTTCTTGGAATGCAGGGTGCAATTGTTTTTAATTTAAAATGTTGTTCCCGTTAGAGAATTCATTCTTAGTCAACTATTAGTTGACTTTCTAAGTATACTACTCCGTAGTATATGTTCATGCCATTTCACCGTTCCAAAGTTAATGCCAAAATAGCAAATGGACCTTGCAATACCAAATTCTCTTTTATGATATGAGGGCTTGTCCTTATTGAGACCACTCCTTCATTTCCTTGCACACATAATGGCATGCACTATATCACATTTTCACCTATGGACTTAAAGACGGGGAGCACTCGCCTACAAGTTTTGTAGGTGAAAACATATCGTATTCCGTAATGTATATATATCATGTTGTTAAAACGAATTGTTGGCCCTTATTGTACTTCGAGAATAGGATTTCTTTTGGCTTCTAATTATGGGTCTATGATGATATCTACAGTGGTAGATTACCACCTATTGAGCATACATACACCTCTCACAAGTCACAAGTGTACAAAAATCATGTTGATCATAAAATACCACATTTGTGTGTTGCACCCATTATTGCAGCAGACAATTGTAGCATATGTGTGCACATAAAAATAAATGAATTTATTTGCAATAATTGCAAATATCTTAAGTATTTAGACAAACAAACCCAACATAATCAAAGTTAAATTCAAAACATATAACCAAGTGCTCGTTGCAACAACAACAACAACAATGCCCATAATCCTATATTGTTTCCACACAAAAGATTAAGTGTAAGTTGTAACTTCACCAACCAATCTTTATTAATTGGGGATTTTTAGAAAGTTAACACCAAAACATGTGCATAAAAGGCTGTGTTGTTGAACTTCATTTTGGGAGAGTAAATATCTCCTGACATTTTCCTAGATAGACATGTTACATACGTCGAGATTCGAGAATATATGAACACAGATAAAGCATTATATATCAAATGCCCATATACAACACTAAATTCAAGAATGATTGCAGCAAAACATATCCTCATTGACAAAGCTTACAATTTTTCAGTAGATTCTTCTGAGCTAATCCCCCTATTGTCATGACTATTTAGCTCACAATACACATGTGGATTAGGTGTACCTATGTAATTACAACAAGCTAAACAATGACTTAGACCAGCCAATCAATTCTCTAAATCAGTTCAAAGGCATCGTCAACTAAAAATACCATACCATACCATACCATACAAGAAAGTGAATCTGGTCAGCTTACTCCCTTTTTCTTTTGAAAGCACGGTGAATAACTCCATTCTGCGGCTCTAATTTATCAATCTTTTCCATACACTCTGTTATTTCCTTCATCTTCCTTGACACACTTGATACTGCATTTGCATTGCTCAAGAACTTCTGTTTCAGGAGCTGCAATTTCTCGGCCTCATCCTGCTCTTGTTTTCTCAAGGAACCTACTGCTTCAGATTCAACAGCTGCAAAATCTGCCCAGGATGAAGACTAGATAAATGCATACAGTATTTAAAAGATTTCTTGTTAAGAAAAAAAAGCCATTGTTAAATTCAGTATTAAGAATCTGTTTGGTAGCCAGCTCTGGCTTATTCTACTCATCACTAGACTAAGCAGCAGAAAAGGTGACTTCTGACTTGTTTCTTCTGCTAAAATGGAGGTTACCAATTGTTGTTTCTTTATGAAAATTCAAAAGATTTGGCCATTTCCGTCATGCAATGGTCCCCAATTCCATCTATAACTACACTTTTAGATTTCGGAGGAATTCCTAAGCCATATATAAAGCTTCCCTACTAGTTCAAATTACCTAAGCATAGCCAATTTGTACTCCTTTTGGATTTAACTCTATCACTCAGCACTTGAGTTCCAAAGACACAAAATAAGCCACCGCTGAACTAAAGTCGAACTTTTTTCGCACCACATCGGTACAGAAATGTGATTTACTTAGAAAATCCAAAAATCCAAAACCCTAGGGGCTAAGAAAGTACCAGGTGGATGCGAAGGTCCCGGCTGAAATTGGGAACCGAAATCAACATTCTTCTCCACCACGAGTGAGGTAGATGCAAGAATAGACGGCAGATTGGTATTGAGCTTATCCAAGACCGCGGCCCGGTAATCTGCAAGTTTCTCGGCCATTTGGTTAACTTCTTCCTCCAGCTCGTCGTTTGGAGACCCTGGTGTTCCGGCTGTGGACATCTTCGTCGCCGCTCGCCGCCCGGCGCCGCGTGGGTGTGCCGAGAGAAACAGACAGAGCAGAGCGCCGGAGCTGACAAGCGGGAGAGGAAGAGAAAGTCGGAGGAGAATGAAAAATTTGAAATGAGCCGTGGTCCGTGGTCCGCCGTCCGCGTTTGCAAATTAACGGACTATATTTACAAAAAAATAAAAATTTAATTCCAATTTTGACCAAAAAAATAATTCCAATTTCAAAATTTAATTTATTACTTCCGAGTATAGGCAAGGTTTGCGTACACACACCCTCCTCAAATCCTATTTTAGTGGAATTCAACTGAGTTGTTGTAGTTGTTGTTAACGAAAATGATCTCCTTCAAGATCCATAGTGAATTTGCTAGTAAAAAGTGTTAGCGCATTCTCTAAGATATTGGTTTGATATTTTAGACACCTGTTAAAGTTTTGTGAATAGATTGATTATTGCATTTAATTTCACTCCCAAAACAAAAATATAAGAACTAATTAACCTAACTTTAATTAAGCTAAAAATAATCGCTAATATATTTAAAAATTAAATTTGATTTCCTGTTGCTTTTTTTGGGAAAACGTGATTTCCTTTTATCATTCATACTTTAGAGTAAAATAAAAATGTTTTTCTTTTTCTACGGAGTTATTTTGTTATGGAATAAATATTAATAAATAGTAATCATAATAATAGTTTCTTTGCAAAAAATGATAATAATAGTTTCATTTATAATTATGTTGTACTGTAGTTTTTTAAAAAATAATTGGAAAATGCAATAGATCAAGAGACCACAAGTCTGAAATGGTAAACTAATAAATTGAGTGACATGCTAACACTTATTGCCATAAAATTCATGGTTATTTTTCAAGAAACCATCTTCATTACAACGCTTTTAAGTTTGGACCAAAAATTGATTGAAAAACATTCAATTTAATTATTTGTATCAGATTAATTCAAATCATTCAAATTATATTAGACAAATTTATTACATCACTTGAGTAATATAGACAAATTTATCACACTATAGTTCTTAAGTTATGTCTAAAGTTATCTACATAAGTACAAAACTTTTTCACCATGATCCAAATATTTTTACTGAAACTACTCCGTGTTACTTAGCCCTATCATTAAGAGATACTTAATGAGCTATAATCTACTGTATTTCATTTGAAAACTATTTTGATAAAAAAAAAATCGCTTTATTTTGCAAAGAATTCCCCTTGGATAACCTTGGAAGTTTGGAGGTTGAGTTTTACACTTCGGTTTGTATTTTTGGCTCTACTTCTATTGAGATGTGCTTATTGCCATACAGAAAAAACAAGTTGCATATGGCCACCTTGTTCAAGCCCTACTTTCGTGATATTTAACCTGGTTGTTTTCACTATCATTAACAAGTGAGTTTTCACTATCATCAAAACTTAGGCACAAAGAGAAAGTAGTTTGTTATACTGCAAAAATTCATGGCAGCAAATCTCTGATAGAGGTCATAAATCACATTCATGAGGAAGCAATGGTAGTTAACCCAAGTGAAAAGTCTCAGACTTTCTCTGAGCTATTTGGGGCTTTCTCAGCTTCATTTTCCTGACCAACCTTCTTTGATCCAAAGACAAACTCCTTCACAGAGCGCTCCGCTGAAAGTATTGCGTTTTTGATCTGCCATTCCAACAAGAGACAATACTATCATCATCACCACCACCACCACCACCACCACCACCTTGATCTTAAGATAACAGCTCATGCAAAATGCATATTACAAAAGGGAAATTATTTACAGTAAAGGGTATGTCCAAATAGAATAATTATAAATTTCAACAAGCTTGGAAGATGAATTCGCAAAAAACAATCATGCCACTGCAACACAAGGCAACTTCCCCACAAGTGTTCCAACAGGATCTCTTTAGCAAGTCGTTAGATTGAATTTATGATCTGAACCGAATAGAGTTTCCAACACTATAATTCAACGATGAAGGACAGGGTTCCAATGAGCACGGAATGCAACAGCAGGCTGGTGGGGGTTTGGCATTAGAGTGGGAGACATCAGATACATGATGTTTGCTCAAACCCCAATGGGATAATAACACACAGGGTCCATTAGGAGCCAGGTGAATGAAATAGAAAGAAGACATGGAGAAACATTTACACTATGTTTGATTCAAGAAATTTGGAAGGAAAAGAAAAGAAAGTGGTTTTCTCTCATTTTCCTCACCAAAATGGGAGGAATTTGATTTTCCCTCCACTTGGTACATTTTACCTTCTTATTTTCTTTTCCTTCCATTTTCCTTTCTTTTCCCATGTAACCAAACGCGAAAAACTATTTTCCACTTCATTTTCTTTTCTTTTCCATTTCAAATTCCTTGAACCAAACATAGTGTTAACGGCACCCACTAGAATTTGGATTTCAAATCCGGATTTGGCCCAAATTCCATATGTCTCCTCTTGTCATTACAAAGCTGTTGTTATTTGATATTCAAAATGGTGAAGTTGTTGCCAAAGAGACACTATGCTTCTCCTAAAGATATCTAAGCATCCAAAAAAAATCAGATATGATTGCCAGCCCTCTTAAGAGCCTAAGGGAGTAAAGCAGTGTCACTAACAGATATTCATCAAATCTCCATGAACAGAACTCGAATTCCCACAGACACGAAATTCCTTCCAGAACAAGAAGAACAAACAACTGAGAAAGCACAATTCATTCCTTACAGAACCCTAATTTCTCGATTGAAAGCGTGAAAGCATCCATACCAACAATCGATTCAAGCAATCTCTCAAACGGTTGCATTTGGTTTCACCACACCACACAAGTGGTCAGACACTAGAATTAACAGGAAGATGATAGTACTGCGGAGTTAGGGGACTTACAGGGTCAAGAGCACTCGGTTGGGGACCATAGTCTGCAGTGAGAAGGATATAAGAAGCAACAGCAGTGGCCACCATAGTCGTCCTTCTCACCAGCTTATCAGTTTTTGGGTCCATCGTCTTCCCCTTTTTTCCTCCAAAAAATTGCAGAAAGAAAGAAGCGAGACGGAGAAGAAAAGCACAAATGCAGTGGCAAAGTTGGAATGAGGAACTCCAGAACATTCTTTATTAGATTATGATGATAACATCCCCTTTCGGTAACCGTATTCTGAATGAACGCGCCCGTTTACTCTTGATCCATAAGTAAAACATAAATTATCATTAACACTGTGCTGAATGGATAGCAATAAGGGTCCATAGCTCAGTGGTAGAGCAATTGACTGCAGATCAATAGGTCACCGGTTCGAACCCGGTTGGACCCTAGCTCCTTTTTTTGTTCTCCTTTTTCCCTTCTACCCAAATCCACATTCTAAGATATCCCCCAATACAATACTCTCCTCACTTTTTTTTCTCTACTACTCCCTCTATCCTAAAACTTTCTTCCCATTTCCCTTTTTTTCTCCGTCCTAAAACTACCCTCCCATTAGAAAAAAAAGATAACAAATGACATTAATACCCTCATGTATTTACACCAATTATCTTCTAACTCTATATTTTGAATTATTGTAAAAAAAATTTGCAAAAAATCTTTTTTAAGGAGGGTAAAATTTGAAGTCAAAACCAAAAATTAAAAATGGGGAAAAGTCAAACTGGGAAGAAAGTTTTAGGACGGAGGGAATATATTTCTTTCTCTTAATCAAAACTTTTTTTCTTACTCCCTCCGTCCCAAATTATAATGTCTGTTTACTATTCACAGGGTCAAACTTCATTCACTTTTTTTCTCTATTTTCGTTGGCAATTTGATAAAATAAAATATTCTTGTCACTACTAGTTTTGTAGATCTTTTGAGGTAGTTTTTAATATGTAATTTTTATTTTTTAATTAATACCATTTGTCATATAAAATTGTTTGAAAATAATTTCAGTCAAACATCGTAAACCAAAACAGGGTTTATAAAATGGAACGGAGGTAGTACTATATAGTATATCTTTCTCTCAATCCAAAAACTTTGCATTTCTGCATATGGATTATTTATAACTTTATGTTAGATGTTTTCTTTTAAAAAAATCATCATCGCTTTACTTGACATATTAAGAGAATGAAAACAGAATGAAGTAATATACGGAGTAATATAAATAAATCTTTTTCTTAGATAAAGATGAATAACGGATTTTGGTACTTCCCCTATTACTTCATTCGTTCACCAAACAAATTTATCAAGCACTCTGAAATAGTAAACCGGGAGGATTTTGATGAACGAAGGAAGTTAAATATTACTCACATACTCTGTGTTTCAGGGTTTTTTTCTTCACATCAACTATCGATTGAATACATCATCCTTCTAAATTACAAAACGACCCAAATTACTTGTAAAGTTAGTCCATCCATCCCAAATCAGATTAACTAGTCTATGAGTAGTTGTAGAACTAGTCCATCCATCCATCCTATAGTATTTACAAACTACAAACATTCTATATAAAACAAAGAATGACATAACTATTACTCTGTATTTGACAAGTATCAAAAGAATCGCGAAAGCAAGCAACAACAAAAAGTGGAGTAAATAAAGTTTGATTTTGTGAATAATAATTATGCAACACAAAACACTAAATTGTGACAAAGGGAATTTGAAACTCAAAGAAAAAATTAGGGTACATGATTTGAAAGTATCCAACATATCCCTGAGAGGATACTTTCCACATTGTTTCATCTCTCACGGAAAGCACCAAGACAGACCAGAAAGTTGCACTTCGGTCGTGTACATTACAAATTTTTCTCTACGAGGATAGCTGGATCAAGCGAATGTGAATTTTAAACCATCGTTGTATGCTAGATTGCTAATTAAAATATTATCCAAGTCAAGAGAATTGCATTTCTTACAGATGCTCATAAGAGGCACAAAAGATCTTTTCTTGGAGTGTGCTTGTCTCAATAGTACTACATTGTTATCACCAAAGCAGCTACAAAGGAGGAAAAAAAAGTGAAATGGCAGTACAAATTCCCTGACAAAAAGAACACCATATTCAGAAGCGACGGATATCTCTTGGGGGCTTAAAATGGAGAGGGTGAGTTTCTGGGGTGGCATTCTCGTCCTCTTTCCACATCTTTATGGTCTTGTCAGCCTCGCAAGTGATCAGCCTCGAACCAGACACATCATAGGTCATTGAGTAGATACCAGCCTCACTCTCCAGTGATCCTGTGTGCCAAAAATACAAGAGGAAAACAACTTCATGGTGTGCATTTTTTTATATAAATACTCTTAAAGGACTATTGTTGGTGTGGAGCATACCAGGTTGAACAATTGTTTGTGCTTGCTGGAAATTATGGCCACTTCTCCAGTCCCAGTACCACAAGCTCCCATTATCACCTTCAAAGCGCATAAACAATTATGAAAACCATGTTGGGTTGGTGGCAGGACATTTTTTTGTCACCATTTTTTTCTAAAACTAGTCAAGGCTATAAATTCTGCAAAATATTAGTAGATAAATTTTGCACCAGTTACCATCCGTTTGCAACCCTATTAAAAGGGAATAATATAATATTGAGAGAAAAATTCATATGCGTAATCATCATACTTGGTATTCAAGTTGCATAGAATAACAAGTTTAGATATTTACTAGTTACTAAGTCCATATCTCGTTGCATGATTGATGGATGTTCTAAAATTAACAAGCACTAATTCACTTCACGGCTAAAATGAATGGCTCAAATTTCTTACCTCCTGTAACCATCACACCATCATTATTGACAGCCATTGCATTGATGATTGTTTTCTGCTGAGAACTGTAACAAGAAAAAGCCATGTTAAAAGACGATCCAACATCGCATACGTGTTTGAAAATTTAGGGCTCCTAGCAAAACTTACAGCATGTTGTGCAAAAATTCTCCTTTTGGGAGGTTGAATTTTTTTATGTTGTCAGCAGAGGCAGACGCAAAAGCATCCCTAGAGAGAAGAGGGATGAATAGATATCAGTTACCTGAGTCCAGATATGAGGAACTAAACAGCAGACTTGAGAATGTCTATGGCTCAGTAAAAATCAATTGCTTATTAAACATACTCGGTTGGATGCAATGACATTGCCCTGACGGATTTCTTGTGATGTGTGAGTGTTGACATAGTCTTACCTGCCAGGTTCACATAATCATAGGCAGTTATAACATAAATCTGGGCAATAAAATTTATTTGCAAGCTATGCAGTGCCAATGGTCATGAAATAATACCATTTCTGAGGTCCCAGAATTTTATAGTTGAATCGTGTGAGCCGGTAATGACTTGAGGATCCTGAATTTAAAGAACACGACTTTATAGTGACATTAATCTTTTCTTTAAAAAGAAATTAAACACCAACAATCAGCCAATCGTACATCCTTTTTAATTGTGAGAATCATTATTCAAACAAATCTCCAAACTGTGCCTTTTTAAAAAACAACACCATTTGGATATTCAAGCTAATGGTAGATTATATCTCCAAGGAATGTATTGCAATGCATTCAAAATTATGCAAATCAAAACTCTTTTTTAATCATGAGGATAATGAATAGGTCATGCATATTCAAGATTATGATTCACAATTAGTGCTTACAAATGGAACGAGGAAATTCAAGGTTGAATTACAGAAAGCTGATGAAAAGGAAAAGGTTTCCAAATCGTGCAGCGCTAAAAGGATTAGATACAATCAGTTAACAGCATAACCCAGTGTCACCGCCACTGCAAAGGGCCACTGATGAAGTAGATGAAGTGAGTGTGTGTCAGGCACACACCCTTGGCTTTTAATGAGAGAAAATTAGCACTCCTGAAAACAACAACAATCCATTTGAATCTTGCGAGAGTAGGATTTGCAAAGACTATTGGGCTTGGAACACTTGGATGGGTTTGCAAAAACTTGGCCTTGAGTGGCTTCCCTGATCCCAAGCTCAGCTCCCTGGTTCAGAACAAGGTTGTGACCTTTGGACTTCGCAATTGTATCATCCTCAATATTCCCCGTTGGGCCATCCGTGTTGGGCTAGGCCTATCCTCCCCGTAGTTCACCTAGGGGACATGTNCCCCCCCCCCCCCCCGCCCACAGGAGAGGGTACATTATTCATTTCAATTCAATTACTCTCTCTCCCTCTATCTCTCTCTATCTACTCACCCTCACTACATGATTTCTAAATGCATCACAGAATGAATACATAAATATTAAAAGAATAGACGTTATGAAATGGGCTTCCTTTATGCTGTGGGCTTTGGAAAATGAATATGCAGAAAATCATACTCCCTCCGTCCAAAAGAAGAATCCTATTTGAGAACTTATTTTTGTCCAAAAAGAGTCATATTGGAACAAAATAGTTAATTTTCATCATACTTAATGGTTTTTATTTATTAAAAAAAGTGGTTCAAATAAGCTATGTGTCGCATTTAAGTTAAAAAAACAAATAAATTTAAACAAATACATTAGATGACTTCCAAAAGTTATACCTTAATCAAAGTAAAAAAGTTACATCTTTGCGAAACAAGACATTTTTTATGGGAAAACCCCGAAGAAGGAAGTAGTACAATATCTCATTCAGCTGAATGCATAAACTTCTCTCTGCAACCTCTATGCCAAAATGGATCTATTGGGGTGCAAGGAAAAGCAAATAAGAAATTATCTGGTTCCAAACAAAACCCAATTTGTGGTTATTGAGAGAAATTAGGCACAAGTATAACAAGATGTTTCTCACTCTTTGAGACTCAGATAAACAGAGAAGAAAGGGTGATAGCATGACACTCATAAAAGATAGGTCGATAGGAGCAAGAAATTCATGAGAAGATACTCTAGTCCAATGATGGATAGCTGATGATTTTATCTAGGGTAGTGTTTGACAACTAGCATTTCATTTCAATTCATGCATTTTAATTCCAAAATTTGAAATCTTGAATTTCAAATGACAAGGGGAGGTGCATGGATTTCAAATTAAGCATTGTTGTGAATGACAAGAATTTGACTCAAATCCAAATTCAAAAATTTTTAGGTTTCCCAAACATAGAATTTGAGCCAAATCTGGATTTGAAATCCAAATTCATGTTCCCAAACATACCATATATGAATTCAATAGAATAGAAAAACCATGTAATCAATTGTAACATAATTATGAATTAACGCCCAATTGATGGAACATAATTATGTTCCATCATCTTCGATGGAGCCAAAATTTCACCATTTTTTGGCTTTGGGGTGGAATAAATCAAAATGGATCTCTAAATTGTCTGCGCTTCTTTAATTAATGAAGTAGCAGTTAGTCAAGCAATGCAACTTTCGACGGGGTCTCTTTGGAAACAGCCTCTCTACTTTCGAGTAGGGGCAAGGTCTGCGTACACACACCCTCCCCAGACCCTACTCTTCTGGGATTTAACTGGGTTGTTGTTGTTGTAACGCCCAAATGAAGTACTAGTGCAAGTAATATGAATTTAAGCTCAATTTAGGTGAAATGTGTGACTTAGCCTCAAATATTGAACAGTAAGCCATAACTAATTATAGTTAAAGGTCCCAGCAAACAAACAAGCCAATTACAAAGACGTACCAAAGGCCGAGATAGAACAGAGCACACGGTCTCATCATGCCCTGACAAAGCATGTATCTGCATCTTGCTCCTAATGTCCCAGACCTGGAAAATCATGAAAAATACAGCATGCTATGGAAACATTTCCAAAAAACATTCAAATACCAATCTGACTTCTTACAGAATGCAATGAACATACCCGACAAACCGAATCACGACCCCCAGTAAAAAGGATATCAAGGACGGGATGAAGGGCTAAGCAATAGACACCACTTAAATGACCATGATAAGACCTGATCACCTGAGAAACGAAGATATACTACTATCATCTAACCACATACTTCTTAACTGTGCCCAAACGATAATGACTTCATTGTCTTTACCAACCTTATTTTGTTCTAGATCCCAGCATTTAACTTGTTTGTCATCACCAGCAGAGAACATGTAGGTGTGCTTACTGCTAACAGCAAGACCTATCAAGAATTATATTTTTCAATACCGTGCTGAGGTTTTATTTTAGATAACTTTATGTTCAGTAAGCAGTGATAACTGTATGTTCAGTAAGCAGTAAGCAAAACAAAAAATGAAAGAGGGAAGTGGGGGCGCACAGATTCGACATTACAGCAGAATTTTAAAACATACCTCTTATTTGTTCAATATGACCAGTGAGAGTAAGCTTTAGCGTTCCACTTGCTAAATCCCATATCTGGTACCAAAATAGAGATAAATAAATAAATTGTTAGCACACAATAAACTTAGCATTTGAAAATTCAATAAATAATTTTTCGAAAATAGGCTACCCTAATAGTGGGGAGGGGGGAGGGGGTGAATTTCATTTTAAACACAGTTAAGCACAAGGTGCAGCATTTGCATTAATAAGAGACATAGGTCCACATATTTCTTGTGAGATCTGGCTCTTCAGAGGTGAGCAATTCAGTTTCCATCAAATATCTAAGTTGCACCAAGACGAGGGTGGGTTATACATGGATGGGGTAGGAAACGTGGAAACACCAACTTTTCCAAATTTTAAAGGATTTGGGTGTTGGGACATCCCCAAGTATCCAAACGGGGATGTTTCGGGGAAGGGAAGCGGCACATTATTGGTCCTGTAAAAAAATACTGGGACGTCTAGTTCAGATGTGTTGTTTAGCCTTGACTGGCAAGCCCAATCCAAGTGCCATCCTTGCCCTGCCCCTGAAAACAAAAATATATTGAGTTCCTTACCTTGATAGTTCGATCTGCTGACCCCGTACAAAACCATGTATTGCTGGGATCCACAGCAACAGACCGCACCCATCCCAAATGCCCGCTGATGACCTATATATTAAAAGAATTTTCAATAACAAAAGAAAATATATCAGTCATACACAGCAATTAGCAAAGAGAAAAGAAAAGATGGCACAGCATTACAAGCCAATGAAATAGCACAAAAATAGACAAATGTGTAGTATGAAATATATCTATCACTATCACTCTTACCTAAAATAGTCAAATAACCCATCTAAAAGAACATTAACTGAAGTTACTTACCCTGTAGTTCTTCCATGGAGGATGCCACACAGGGCGTGGCCATTTACTTGGTATCCTTTCCATTATAGCAGCAGTTGTGAGATTCCTGAATAAAAGGGGTGGAGATAGTTGTTTTGTAAGCATCATATAGGTCAAGTATTCATCATTGAAAATGGAATCCAGGGTATAAATTACAAAGTTTTGTCACAACGACAACTAAGGCCATGTTCTTCTTGGGTTGGAAAAATTAACTTTCAACTTTTTCCAACCAGCTTCTTCCAACTCCCTCCAGTTTCTTCCAACAACTTAAAAAAGGTATTTATATATAATGAATATACGATAACATTATATATCCAAATTTATAACATACCACCTCAAATACGGATAATGATGAATTCTTTTTTATCCAAAATTAGAGTTTTTTACATATTTATTTGGGTGATCATTTAATTGAGTGACTTTTTAACACTTAAATTCTTCCAACATTTTTCAACTCCTTCCAGTTTTTCCAACTCTTTCCAGTGTCTACCAACATCCAACTAACCCAAAAGTTTGAATATAAAATTCGGAATGTGAATAATCCAATTTCCACTTAATAATCACATCATGGGTATATAAATTCAGAATTTCAGATGTGGATAATCTCAATAGCCTCTAAACAATGGACAAGATTATTCAGAATTTGAATAACTTAATTTCTGATAATTCATTTCCTAGGCTACTAGAAGGAAAATTAATGAAGAAAAATGGGTGCAACCTTTCAGAAGAAGGGTTTGAAAGAACAGCTGCAGTACTACTTTTGCTGGAGAAGCCATCCATTCTACAAAAAAAGTTTTACAATTGAGTATAAATCATTGGAATAATTTTGCTTGCTTTCTATTTAATTTTGGCAGCAGACTTGAGACAACAGCAGCATTATTAGAACGTATATGCAACGAACTTCAATACATATAGCATTGCTCTGTAGCTGGAACAAAATGAATGCAAGAACATGGAAAATCTCTGAAGAGTTAATTTGTACGTGGGGTGATTAAAAAAACATACGTGCTCTTTGGTTGCAAAGTTGGACCAACAGCTAATACATTTTCTGAAACTCCCTTGTGTGGGTCTCTTGCATTCTCTGGACCTGGCAGGAAAAGTTAAATACTTAAATGTAATTCGAACAGCACCAACTTACTCATTTTGCTAGTGCAATGCAATTCAAGTAAAGATTAACTAATTAATCGTTTAATAACACGGTTTAACTTCTATGTGATAAGTTAATAATAATAACTCTGGGAAAAACATAACGGTTGCTATAAAAGAATTTACTTAGCAACTCACTCAAGACATCTTAAGAAAAAACTATGGAAACATAAAATAAAGATCCTATGAGAGCCATACCTGGAAGAGCGAGAGCATTTGAAGGAGCAGAAGGCTTTTGACCTTGACTTTCAGAGCCCGCCTTTGAATTTGAATGAGATTGAGTTGTTATAGCTCCATATTCGATATTTAGCTTAACCATCAAGCAAAAACACACCATTAAAATCCTCCATATAGCTGCAACAGATTTTGCAGAAACACCATAGAAACTCAAAAGTATCCAGCATCATCTCCTAATATTTTCAATTGGTATTCCATTATCACTGCTAACCTTATGACTTGTTCGAATCCTCTTGCTGCGAAGACAGTAATGAATTCCACAATCAGGTCCTCAGTGTTACAAAAAACGCAATAAACAGATTAATTTGATCAGGCATAATGAATACCTTTCCGGATCGGGAGGGGGGATATGGCCATGTAGGGGAGAGAAGAAATCTAGGGCATGCTTTTGAGATTTGAAGCTGAGCTTCTTTAGTGACTGTGGTTCTACTGGTAACTCGGAATCCATTGTTGCCACCCCTGGCATAGCCAAGTCTAACTTCTCACAGTGCCCCTTCCAGCTTCCGTCGGGATGCCCCTGGAATAATATAAGCCCCCGGCTGCGTGCCGGCTGTAGCAGCACTAATTTCAAACAATATTCAACAAATTAACACATTAGCATTACACATAACACATAACCCAAATTTAAAATTTAATAAAGAAGTAAAAGAAATACCAAATACCTGGAATGATGAGATCGAAACTCAAAAAATATGAAGATAGAATACTAGAAGATGGAGTCACGGTCTCGCGAAACTGACGGAAGTTTGCTCCCTTCTTTGCCTCTCCGGAGTCTGGCCTCTGCTTGAGTGCTTGACTGCTAGTCGGGATCACAGACGAGCGTAGAGCGGCGGCTGCGGCGGAAGTGAAGAAGACAAAGTGAGATTCTGAGATCGGTGAGACGCAGAACCGCTCAACCGCAGCGCAGCACAGAACCGGCAGAGAAAGTGAAGCACAGCGAAGTTTTTTTTCTTTCTTTTTTTTTTACTTCAGATTGGGGTATTGGGCTTCCGATTGGGCTTTTATTGGGCAAATGTTGGATTGAGCCGAAATGACACAAAAAAATAATGAATTTTATGTCCCCGTTTTAAAAAAAAAAACATAATGACATGAATTTTATGTACATTCAAATAATTAAATGCAAAAAGACTAAAATAGGAATAAAATATTGAAAATATGCTAAAATATGATTTTCATATTCTTACTCACGAAATAAGAGTTGAGATGCATTTACATTACCAAACATGGTTAATTATATTACCAAAAATGTAGTAATGTGCACATGTACAGTGTCACATTACCACCACTTTACCACAGTGAGAACTTCTATTTCGAAATAAAGACACGAATCTTCTATTTTGGTATTTTTATGTTTTAGTCATATTTAGGTTGATTTGCCCTAATTAAATCGACAAGAAATATACTCCGTAATTTTTTACCAAAATTTTTGAATTGAACATAATCATAATATTAATTCAACCAATAAATAATTTTGATTAAAATAAGCTTAACACCAAATTAGGAAAAAATTCGAATTATAAATTTATCCACACAAAAATAAGTTTAACTTTCAAAACACAGAAAAATTATAAAGAGTTAAAACTATGCAATTACCATCATTCAGCATTGGGGAAAAAATAAATGAAACCATTAAAGATTTAAGGTGTTAATTATTAAACATTTTGATTTTAAAGTCTTTCAAAATAATAAGAAGTAATAAAAAAACTTGTACTATGCCAAGTCGGTCAGGCGTAGCTACGGCCAGGTGGGGCTCTGGTCTTTTCAAGTAATCGTTAGCCCGCATAACTCGTAATACGGAGTATGCTAGAAGCAATTTCTAGATTATACTTCGTAACAGCTTAATACCAGTGTTATTATACCGGACATGACCGAGTTGTCCGACTGGTCGAACCACGACCCGGACACACAATCGGTCCGGTTCAACCCCCCAAAAACTCGGGAAAAACCGGTTCAACCCGAAAAACCCAGATTGACCCGAGTTTAAAATCATTGCTTAATACACGCTCCACTATCAACAAATGCCAAATTTAAGGTACAATGGAATTCTTGGTTATTCTACCCTTCAAATTTTATGGATCTCAAAAGTACAACAACAACCCAGTTGAATCCCACAAGAGTAGGGTCTGGGGAGGGTGTGTGTACGCAGACCTTGCCCCTACTCGAAAGTAGAGAGGATGTTTCCAAAAAGACCCCCGGCTCAACATCGAAAGTTGCAGTGTTTGACTAACTGCTACTTCATTAATTAAAGAAGCGCAGATAGTTTAGAGATCCATTTTGATTTATTCTATCACACCCCAAAACCAAAAATGGTGAAATTTTGACTCCATCGGAGATATGAAAAAATGGATCTCAAAAGTACATAGAATCTATTTGGTAAGGAGTGGACCTTGTATGCCAATGCTCGAAGTAATTGTTATCATTATTGTTTATTGTTGTCTTTTTTATGTTATATAGTTTTTGTTGGAAATTGTGTATATACACACACCATTTTGAATTGTTTCTCTTTTTTAAGTACCAAACACAAGGTCTAATTAATTTGACTTTTTTGTAGAAAGACCAACAAAAGAGATTAGATACTTTAATTTAAGACAAAGGAGGCAATGACTTTCGTGGCATATGAACATACACTTACAAAAAAAGCTCAAATACGTAAAATTACTTGTTTTAGTAATTTTGCATCACTAGAAAAATAAAATAATTAGACATTACAAAATACGAAATAATGAAATATAAATGTATACAATGAAGGATAATAGTTGATCTTATTGTCTATATTTATATAGTAATAGATATAAGTAAAATGCTTAAGAAGACGGGTGGATGGATTCAATGTGCCCTATCTCGGAAGATATCCATACTCATTTCACCTGGGTCTGTTGCTTGCAACTCCACTTGAACCCCATCCAATTCTCTCCTAAATTTATCTTTGGAGCTTGCATACACCATCTTGTTTCTCACACTGGCCGTCTCCGGAGACCTAATCACGATAACAATAACAAATTAAACCCAATAAAATCTCCTAAGAGTAGGGTATGAGGAACCATGCGTTTATACAAACCTCATCTAATTTTGAAAGAGACGTTTCACAACTAGTAAAGATAATTTATACTATGCTCATTTTTTTCGAAACTTGTTTTAGTGGTAGGATATTATGCATTTCCTTTGAGGTGAGGAGTTTATATGTTAGAAATCAACCAATTATTTAGTTCAACTCAAGAGTCTGTATACAGATTATTTTAATCTTGGACTTCCGAAGTAGGACATGTTAGAATATAAAAAAATCATGAACCACAAACACAAGCTTGAGCTTTTAGTTGAATCGGTTATTTGACATTATATATAGAGGTTTACCAAAACACAAAGAAAATCCGACTCCTCTGCATGTTCTCTTGGGTCGTGAAATCGTAGTCGAAAACGGCGAATCGACAATCATCAGAGGGCAAACTGTTGGTGAAATCACGATGCGTCTCATTGTGACTTCCGAGTTTATCCACCACTACAGCCTGGCTTGATCTATCAATCTTGAAAATAATGTATCTGAAATTCCTCTTCGACTTCAGCTCCATAAACCTCAGCTTGCAATCGTCGATCACTCCAACACCTGATGCCGAATTAGCCTAACAATAACAACAATTTACCAACAATATCATATGAATTGTCTTATTCATGATATATCATGCATATACCAATGGAGTATATTAATTTGTACCCATTTTGCAACAAAATAAAAAGAAAAAACAGATCGAATGAAGAGTATAACACATGCATTTGCATATGAATAAAAGCATTACCATTATTACGTGTTTGTTGCTCTTAATATAAATGTTTTTATATTGAACTTTAAATTACATATATGTTCAGAATCTTGATCTGTGATATTTTGTGAAATAATCAAGCATGGATTGAGGAAAAGGAGTTTAAACAAATGATCATCTCGAAGGAGAGAAATGATGGGTTCTTAGCATGGTTTGTTTAATTTGTTGTGAGGATAATAAAGAGATAGATGGTCTCAATGTAACACACATCATTCACATTGTTTTTTATTCTTATTTTGCATGTGTGGGAAATTAAATCTACACCATTGGACTCCTACACTTGTGAATCACCTCTCAATTACTCTTTTTCTATTACACCAAACTAAATAGTTTGTTTATATCCAACCATTAATTAAATGTTCATGTATGAAAAAAATCTTAATATGAGCTTTTTTCTCTCATTATTAATTAATTGATATTAATTTTACATGTTAAGCCGATATTTTTTCTTAAAAATTACAGTCAGGATCCGTTTTATACACAAAATTGACAAAATTGAAATTGAATTGAGAGTTGACATTCTTTGGTATTGGTTTAGGTATAATTGAATTCTCCAGTTTCAATTCATTTTCGGCATTACCAATTCCAAATTCACATATTTTTGTGTGCTACTAAACAACAAAATTTGAATTGTAGTCTCAAATTCTAATTTCATAGTTTGAATTTCATATATCAAACGGAGCTTAGAATTTGAAAATATAAGTATGTGCTGTGTAAATGAGAATATCGTTTTCAGACAGAGGCAATTATATTTAATGACCAAGTGCAATCAATAATAATTAGCATTCTTTAATAAATCAAACATCTTTTCAATAAGTTGTATAATATTATGTTTAAAATTATTCACAACGGTCAATTTTTATGAGAACTAAAACCCATATAAAAATGTGAACATTGTCACATAAGCAATAAATTATTACTTCCTCTGTCCCTAAATATTTGCCACACTTGTATTTCCGAGGCAAAATATTAAGTTTTTTTAATTCATTTTATTTACATATTGGTATAAAAATAAAAAATAAAATTTACATATCAAAAAACTACATGAAAAGTTCTTAGAAATAAGAGGTGTCAAGAATATTTTATTTTATCAAATAACCATTGAAAACGTAGAAATAAACAAAAGTTCCCGCGACTGCTGAAAAAGCAAACGTTGCAAATAATTTGGGAGGGAGGGATTAATAAAACCAAATCAATCTTTTGTCCCAACTTCGTGTGCCACCCACAATGTATGCCCCTAGGCACAATCTTCTATCGACTAAAAAAACACACCCTCCTTTAAATAAAATTTACAATTTTCTTTTTTATTTTTCCTAAAATAAGTTTTTGTCTCAAAAAAAATTTAGTATGTGACACATATTTAGTATCCAAAACTGAATGAAATGAATGAAGTGAAAGAGTTATTTTGTGACAAATAAAAAAGTAAAGTATAATTTTCATTGAAGGATGAAGAGAGAATTTTTCAATTGAAAATCAAGATATGGTTGTTTTAGGTGAAAGACAATGAAGGGCGATGCACATGATGAGAATTGTGAAATAGGTTCTTTGATACATGACATTAACACCTCCATGCTAAAAACACTCTTCAAAAACCTTTAGATAGAATAATTAAGATATATGGAGAGAGTATTTAAGGCTAAGTGTAATACCTCACATTTGGTCAGGTGTGATCCTCCTCCGTGGGGCTATCACGATGGTGTGAGCAAAGAGCCGAGGAACATTGACCCTTGCCTCCGGGCATGAGTGAAGTCGTGACTCTGGTCATAGATGAACAATTGTTGCAATATAATTGTATTACAAGAAGATGCTGATTGTTTGCGATGGTAACTAAAAAAAATTGGGCTGAGTCAAGAAAAATATTACACACGTTAAGTGAGTAGAAGATAAGATTTTAGTCAACGATAGTATGGCTCTGGATTTACCCACTTTCATTTTTCAGATGTCATCAAATATTATGCAATTCATAATTTTCAAGTTAATAAATAGGCAATTCATAAATTTTTTATTATGTAAATAATTTTTTTTTGAAATCACCCATTTAATATACAATGACTTTCAACCAATTACAAAAAAAGTAGCAGGTAAACACACAAGTTGTGCCGCAACAATCTTTTGAATAACAAATCTGATCACACTAAAAACAAAATTATATATTTTTAGGGTTAAAACATTAATATACACGACCTGCTGGACTCTATTAAAGAACTTCATAGCTTATGGGGCTAGGGAATCAAAAGTATCAAAAGTAAATGGGATAAACACATGTTTTTTTTCCAAGCAAGCTAAGCTTTCTCGTGTTTAGCGCCACATTGCCAGATTTTACCTTCAGAGGTATGTGGCCAAAAACAAACTCATTATCCTTGAGCCCAACAAGAGGGACACACTTGGTAGACCCACACAAATGTGTTCCACCTTGCTCACCAAACACAAGAATAACGGTTGGCCATAGAGCAAATACCCCTTCAAGTGGGTCCATCAAAAAGTTTATTAGAACATGCTTCTTAGCCAAAATCTCTTCTCGCTTTTAAACATGTCATAGAATATCCTGAACTACATGTCTGTATTAAATTCATGTAACTCCTTGCAATGGATGCATACTCACCAAAAGTATATAAACAAACCTTGTGGCAAACTGGGCAGTGCATATTAATCCGATACAGAGGGACCAATAACCAATACTTAAGAATTACCCGATACTCCACAGCCGACATGTGTTAGCATGGTACACCACTTTTTTGGCGCAGGGATAGAATAAATCTCTCTCCCAAAATTCTGAACGGTTTTACTAAATAAGGTCCTCGCCAAAACATTTTGCGTTTTAGAGGGCAGTTTCTTTACTAGAGAACTGACAAAATCAAAATCCAAAAGAGATCTATATAAACAATCCAACGTAGATCTAAAATCAGAATCTAATTCAACAATACTACAATGCTTAAGAATGTGATCTTGCAAACTCCAACATATTGGTTGAACATAGACCAAACCTCCAAGACATATTAGAAGGAATGCGAGCCTTCCCGGAGACCTTTGTCTAGAGTTTTCACTTTTTTTAAAAAACCACTCCACTAAAGGGTAGACATGTGCATAGCGCCATAGCCTTTACCCGAAACAAGTTTCCATAGCAGAAAAGAAAGAAACAATGATTGGCCGATTTTTATAGAGCAACGGACCGAATCCAAACACCTCTTTTCATTCTGGTCATCCTAAAGTCCAAAACAGACTGTTCACTGAATCGGGAAATGAAATAAAATCTTCATCGTTCTAGGAAAGGAAAGGAAGCTGTGTAATGAATGAAATGGAGGAGAAACCATTACCGCCACATCGCTAACTCCTCACTGACCTAATCTCTCTCCCGAATCCCGCCATTGATTCTCGCTCTCTCCATCCTGAGATTCCTGAATCGGTCAGTTCACCTCCCTCCATTTTCACTGCATGTCCTTCTGTACATTTGACGCTCGTAGAGATTTGATTGTGCATGCTGATTTATCCGAGTAGTGTTTTGAGCTATAATTGCGATATTGAATATGTGCGTGTTGGTTGTTTTAATTTTGAGTTGAAACTCGAGATAGAATGAATACTGCTGCGGACAAATAGGTAACATTTGCTCTGAAATTCATGTTTTCTGCCATCAGGTGTACAGTTTCAGGTGAATGATCGGCCTTTGTTTCATGTGGGTTAATTGTGTCTGTTGTATGCATGTGGCCTTCTGTACATTTGTCGCTCATATACATTTGATTGTTCATGCTAATTTATCCCCCGAGTAGTTAATTCCGCTCTAATAGCAATATTGCATATGCGTGTATTAGTTGATTTTTAGTGGAAACTCGAGATAGAATGAATGTTACTGCGGAGTGGTGAAAATTTGTTGCTACTATCAACTCCTCATGTAAATAGGTAACATATATCCTTTGAAATTCGTGTTTTCTTCCATCAGGTGTACGGTTTCAAGCGAATGATCTGCTGCTGTTTTTTGTGAGTGAATTTGGTCTGCTTCGTGTATTAGACTAGTGGAGAACAAATGGGCTTTGCATATTGCCTTTCTCAGCCGTATATGGCACATTGTAGCTGTGCTGTGGATTTTCGAATATTCAATCATCCAATCAAATTGAAGGATTTTAAGAGTGTATCGGCAGGAAGCTCGGGAGTTTTGTTTAGAAGTATCCAGAAGAAGGGGTTAAAACGAATCACTGCTAGCCGGGACCAAGGTGTATTCAATTCAAGGGTCTTATTCGATCATCATTTGTGCAAGTCCACTGCGGGTGGAAACATTGTGTGTTTGAAGGAAATCAAGGAATACAGTAGAGCAAAATTATATAGATGCAAGGGAAATGATTCGATATCATATGTTAGTGGTCCTGTTGGGGATTCCGATTTCACTGAGAGTGGTAATGATGGAAACCTAATCATTGAGACTAACTCTATTGTAGAAGATAGCAGTTTGAGAGCGGAACACCAGGAGCACAATGAAGAGGCAGATGAACGTAGTTTGGATGATTTAAGGGAACAGTTTCAGAAGGCCCTCAAGGATTTGGAGATTGCACGTAATAATAGAACCACAATTGAAGAGAAAGCTCAGAGGATATCTGAGGCATCAATACTGTTGAAGGAAAATGCAGTAAATGCTCGCAAAGATGTGAATGATGTACTTAATACTATCCAAGAGATAGTAAATGAAGAAACGACAGCTAGAGAAGCTGTGCAAAAGGCAACCATGACACTTTCTTTGGCTGAGGCAAGGCTCCAGGTGGCAGTGGCATCGATCGAGATCTCAAATGAAAGTAACTTGCCCACGGAAACTTCTGGAGACAACAAAGTGGTAGCAGAAGCTCCATTAGAAGAGGACAACGAACTGATTTTGGCTGCTAACAAAGTGTACGTAAGAGAGTGCCAAGACTGTTTGGCCAATTGTATTGCTGGACTGAGGCAATTACAGAACAAGAAGGAAGAGTTACAGAAAGAAGTTGAAAGGCTGAATGAGGTAGCTGAGGAAGCAGAAATGAAAGCTCTCAAGGCAGAGGAGGATGTTGTAAACATAATGCTTTTAGCTGAGCAAGCTGTTGCATTTGAACTCAAGGCTATACAAAGTGCAAGTGATGCAGAGATTGCATTACAGAAAGCAGAAAAGACCCTTGCAATTTCAAGTTTTGATTCCGCAGAAGCTACAAATGATCAGGTGTGTGTTGAGGTGGGTTCTCTTGAGAATAATGTGAATGAGGGAAATCGAACAGATGCTGAAACACTAGGGGAGGTGCCAACTGAGGATACTGATGTAACTGTAGAACCATTGCCAAACAACCAATTTCATATAACTGGTCACATGACTGACGAGGCACAGTTATTGGATGATAGTGAAAAAGAAGACTGTAAATTGAATTCAGATAATTTAAAAAATGTTCAAAGTAGTAAAAAAAAGGGAACACAGAAGGAGCCGGTCAGGGATAACTCACTATTAAATGCTCCAAAATCCTTACTGAAAAAGTCTTCCAGGTTCTTTTCTGCTTCTTTCTTCTCCTTTTCAGCAGGTGGTGAGAAATTCACTCCGGCTTCAGTGTTTCATGGTCTGGTTGAGTCAACTAGGAAAGAATTGCCTAAATTGGTTGTTGGCTCATTGCTCTTGGGAGCTGGGTAAGAGTGACTATTGATATGGTTTTTCCTCGTGGTATTCCTTATAAACAAGTGTATTTGCAAAAAAAAAGTGTAGTGCTTGTACTTTCCTGGTTAAGTTTTGATATTTTCTAAGTAGAATTGTGATAATTTGCCAATGTTGCTGACATTTGACATGCTTCTGAAAATTTTCCCAGATTTTCCTTCTATATCAACCGGGCTGAGCAAATTGCTAAGCTATTTCAGCAGCCAGACATCATTACTACTAGTATTGATGAGGTTTCAACAAACACAAAGCCCCTGGTTCGACAAATAAAGAAACTACCCTACAAAATTAAGAAACTAATCAACAAGCTTCCTCATCAAGAGGCATGTTCTCAAATCATTCATTTAATTTCAGTTGTCTTAGATCCCATCTTGGAATATGTGTAATGCTTCCATACTTCTACCTCATGATGGAGGTTTCTTCACTTTGTAGATAAATGAGGAGGAAGCGTCCCTTCTTGATGTGATCTGGCTACTGCTTGCTAGCGTTGTGTTTGTGCCTCTCTTCCAGAAAATCCCTGGAGGTAAAAGAACTTCTGTCTTATTCACGAAGTGATAACTGTCTCAGCTTATGCTGAACACATGGTTTTCCTTTTTCTTATGCAAAATTGAATTTGCCTCTTATAGTTTTCATGGGCTGGGTACATGCTGTAGGCATTTTATTGTCTGCTTATAGCTCATCTCATGTGTGCTTCAATGTTTAGGAAGTCCTGTTCTCGGATACCTGGCTGCTGGAATCTTGATTGGACCTCATGGCCTTTCTATTATTCGTAATGTACATGGAACCAAGGCAATAGCTGAATTCGGAGTTGTCTTCTTGCTATTTAATATTGGCCTTGAGGTGGGATTTGAAAAGATAGGAAATAGAGGCTTTTACGCACTGTTCTATGTTCTTGTGTTTAACCATTATGTAATGACTGAAGTGTTTTGATCTTTATATGTCAGCTTTCTGTGGAGAGGTTAAGTTCTATGAAGAAGTATGTTTTTGGTTTGGGCACTACTCAGGTCACTACCATTAGATTGTCTTAAGTAAAAATGAAGTGTTACATGTTGCCATTCTGCCTTAAACACAACATTTTATGTGCACAAGCAAGTGTAGGTGTTAGTGACAGCTGCAGTGGTTGGCTTGGTGACCCATGTTGTTGCCGGGCAGCATGGTCCTGCAGCAATTGTCATTGGGAATGGTCTTGCATTGTCCTCCACTGCTGTTGTACTCCAGGTTAGCACTGACCTCTGTTTAGTAGGCCTTGCTGAAGGTTCTTGATTTATTGTCTTTATTTTTTCTAAGGGTTAATAGCATGGGCACCCCCTGTGGTTTACAAAAAGGGCGTCAAAACCCCCACTGTTTTCAAAAGTTATTTGTAAAGTCCCTGTGGTTTCTAAATAGAGCACACATGCCCCCCTTACCTATTTTTAAAGCAAAAATGACATTTATGCCCTTTGTTTCCCCCGATCCTGAATTTTTCTGATTTTAATTTTCTTTATTATACAAATATATAAAATAAAATATATGCTTCCCATCTCAAATTATAATTTTTCATAATGTACTTTTGAAAACAAAATATTTTTTGGAGAATGTTACAAAAAAATGAAAAATAAAATATTATGTACAAAGTAAAAAGTAATAACAGTTAAAAAAAGTAATGAAAAGAAATAAAAATATAAAAAATAGTCTTTTTCTTTAACTCCATATTTTATTTCATCTTTCTTTTCTTCATTTTTAAAGTCCTTAAAATTATTTTACTTTTAAAAACAAATAAGTTAGAATTTTTAACTAGAGATAGAGTGAGTATATGTTATCCAATTTTTTATTTTATTTATTTTACTTTTACTTATAATGAAAAAGTGTATTTTATTTCATTTTTGTAACATTTTCTAAAAAAATATTTTTTAAAAAAAATTAAATAAATGAAAATTTTTAATTTGAGAAAGAGGGCGTATATTTTATTTTATTTATTTGTATAGCAAAAAATGTAAAGAAAAGAGTGAAATTTGAAGATAGAGAAAAGCCAAGGGCAGAAATGTCATTTCATGTGTAAAATAGGAAAGAGGGGGTATCCGTGACCCATTTAAAAACCACGGGGGTTGTACAAATAACTTTTGAAAGCAGAGGAGGTTTTGGCGTTCCTTTTGTAAACCACGGGGGGCACCCATTCTTTTATCCCCTAAAATAATTTTAAGGACTTTAAAAATGAAGAACAGAAAGATGAAATAAAATATGGAGTTAAAGAAAAAGACTATTTTTTATATTTTTATTTCTTTTCATTACTTTTTTTAACTGTTATTACTTTTTACTTTGTACATAATATTTTATTTTTCATTTTTTTGTAACATTCTCCAAAAAATATTTTGTTTTCAAAAGTACATTATGAAAAATTCTAATTTGAGATGGGAAGCATATATTTTATTTTATATATTTGTATAATAAAGGAAATTAAAATCGGAAAAATTCAGGATCGGGGAAAACAAAGGGCATAAATGTCATTTTTGCTTTAAAAATAGGTAAGGGGGGCATGTGTGCTCTATTTAGAAACCACAGGGACTTTACAAATAACTTTTGAAAACAGGGGGGGTTTTGACGCCCTTTTTGTAAACCACAGGGGGTGCCCATGCTATTAAACCTTTTTTCTAATGAAGCTAAAATTTATTGCTGTATCTGAATTCTGAAATCACTATCTGCATTTAGGATATTAACTCATTTGTTTAGATGACTTCAATCCTGTGAATTAGAATGTGATTGAATGATATGTTTTGTTTCCTTTCACACCATGGGTCGGAGAATATGATTTCATATTTGAAAGATGGATATAGTATATAGGTAAGGCACATGCTTTTTTTTTTTGAAACAGGCACATGCTTTTCAAATATCACATTCTCATATTCTCATGGCCCTAGCCAGTAGGCCACCCGTTGAATGATGAATAAACATAGGCTCCAATTGTTTTATGCAGTACACTTTCCACAAAAGGGTTTTCCGGATTTTCATGTGTTTGGGGCAGAATTTTTTTCCCCAGAATGATAACATTTTCATTGCTTCTTTCTAACATGAAATATGAAGAACTGGCTGTTTTTCTTTCTTTTGTGGGTTAAGCATTATATATCATATGCAGAACAGTTTATTATATTCCGTCTAAAAACATTTTCCTCAACAACTATTTTCCAGCAAACAAACAGCGCTTGTGTAAACTTTGGGGTTGTAGACTTGTAGTGATGGGCCTAGCATATCTTGCATTTTTTGCATACACAGAAACACTTGACTACCTTTTGTTCACAAATAAAAAACTTACTGCATTCGTCCCATTGTGTTCGAGACTAAACACTTTTGGCACGCCAACTAAGAAAGGGGGAATTGTATGTTTGACCTTGCATTTCTAGAGCTTGAATTATTATGAGCCACATACAAGTTGCCAAATATGGTACGGGGCAAACACTTTGGGATGAACAAGAATGGTAAAATGGGAGAAATAATATGAGATGGGAGTATTAAAGAAAAAAGGAGTGTCCATTCTGAAATCATTACTTGTTCATGATGGTTGAATTACTTCATGAATGGTTGAATACCATTTTGAAGGCATTTAAGGTGAAAGTAGAGGAATGTGTGCAGGTATTACAGGAACGTGGTGAAAGCACGTCACGGCATGGACGAGCGACATTTTCTGTACTACTCTTCCAGGTATGTGCATACTTGAAGAACTTTCTTGATTCTTAAATTCTGTATTGATACACATGTCTTGCTACTTTGGACATTGGTTCTAGTTGTTCTAATTTTGCTTATTTGTTTTTATTCTCTTCAGGATTTGGCAGTGGTTGTTTTGCTTATATTGATACCTCTAATCTCACCAAATTCATCCAAAGGAGGGGTAATTTCCTTTTGCTGATCTTTTAAGTTTAACTTGTGAAGTCTTTCATATGATTTTTTCTATTCTTCTATCTTGACACCATATTTTGATAACCTATCCTCATTTCTACCGCTAACCTTATGGTGGTCTCATTTACTTTTGAAAATTTGTGGTTCTCAGGTTGGTTTCCAAGCCATAGCTGAAGCCCTTGGATTGGCTGGTGTCAAAGCAATTGTAGCTATTACTGCAATTATTGCTGGTGGACGATTGGTAAGCATATGAATGTTGAAAATTTAGGGATTATAGTAATTTCCATGCATTTTTTGGTTGCTGATTCTTGTAAAGATAATTTCTTTAATTGAGGGAATATTTTTCTTCCATTCATGTTTGCTGTATATGACTTTTGACATTGTCAAATTTGGCATAAGCCGCGCAACTTGTCTCAAAAGATCCTTAAGAAATTATGTTTATCTTTTTCTTATATATATGAGACTCAAAATCATGTAGACAACCGATGTAGGATGCTCAACTTCTGAGTAGGGTTAATGTCTGCATACACACACCCTCCCAGACCCTACCTTCGTGGGATTCTACTGGGTTGTTGTTGTTGTTGTTGACAAACGGGCCTAAACCAAACCCAAGTGGGCTACCCAAAGCATCAAGTAGGTGGGCACTCTACAAAGCACTATTGGACCAGGCTATGTTAAATTGGATCTAACACATACACCAGACTCAATCCCGGGGAACTCAACATACATATATAGGCCTCATATATTTCTTGATGCAAAGCCTTTATCTTTTGGATTTCAATGATTTGCAGCTGCTTCGACCAATATATAAACAAATTGCAGAGAATCAGAATGCAGAAATATTTTCTGCTAATACACTGCTTGTTATTCTTGGTACCAGTCTCCTAACTGCAAGGGTAGGTGTCATCTATTATTCTTGTATTGACTCATTAATCAGGAGTTGTTGCTAAAGCTTAAACGTCGCTTCCAAATTTCAATGTTGATCAACAGGCTGGCCTGTCTATGGCTTTGGGTGCCTTTTTGGCTGGTCTACTTCTGGCAGAGACTGAATTTTCATTGCAGGTTGAATCAGATATCGCTCCATACCGTGGCCTTTTGTTGGGTCTTTTTTTCATGACGGTATGTTCTTGCATTTGCATACCATTAACAGATGCATCCACATATTGAGAATATGAACATAGCAGCTTCTTGCACATCAACAGAACCTTCGTGTCACAGCCCATTTTATGTGCCATTTTGTCAACGACAGTCTTAAAAACAATATTTTGGGGTGGAGGTGGTGAAGGAATGTTCCAAAACGAAATCCCAATTTTTCTGTACAATTAGATAGAGCATTCTTCACTGTTGTAGCCCCTCCAACAATCTGAGAAAAAAAGTCTGTGGTTGGTTTCTAAGAGAGTTTAAGTACAAAGCTTTCTCTCTTCCTCTACAATTTTGATTCCATGCACCTTCTCTTCTCTCTATTTTACCTTAATTTACAGGGTATTTTTTTAAATCTAGGAATGATAAAGAAGTTATATCCAAAGGAATTTATTTATTTTTAAGAAGCCAGTTTTGGCTAAAGAATAGTTTTAAGAACTGGTTTTATTCAGGTTTGGCTAAAACATATTCGATCATCTAAGATCTGAAAGCAATATTACTTCTAATGCTCAATTGAAAATTTGAGTTCTCCTCCAAAGTTGCTTTCTTTCTCCATTCTTCTTTGTAATATTTTTGTGATTTTCTCAAGATTCAATTCTAGATTGTCCCGATATTTTTAAATTTTTATCAGTTGTCCGTACTTGTATTTATTAAAAGCTCATTTATATGACTGCAAACATGTGTGTGAATACTCCATTTATCTGTGTAGGTGTATCAGTGTATGGATATTGTCAAATGTATTGAAACTAATATATTATACTTCAAACAACTAATTAAGGTCTATGTTACAAGCATTTTCACTTCAAACACCTTTCTTGTTGTAATTATTACATCCAAATTATCCAACGAAATCTCATTTTTCTGCCACTATTCTTTTCTCGCCGTTGCAATATGTGGCACGAGTATATAATTCAACCAGCTAATATCTTAGCTAAATATATTTTTGCTCTTCCAATGGTGTGAACATTGGCTTCATGATTGGAGGTATTTTGCAAGTATACAAAAGCCTGATGTAGTAATAAAACCGGTAAGACCGGGTCGATTTCCACAGGGACTTGGTAATTAAATTGTGCTTTAAAGAGGTGTGTGAAGGAGTGTAAAAACGCAGGAAATTAGAGCAAGAGATGAGGTACCGAGGAGTTCGGGACTAGCCAATTATAATATCTACTAAAACTAAGAAACTTCATTCAACTATTGCAAGTGCGGAGTCATAAAGGTACCTCTTGTTCCGATTAAGGAAACAAAAGGGTAATTGGCATCTTCGTGCAAGTACCGTTACGTCTTGCATACATCAAGAGCCAACCCCATTAATGTTCAAAACTTCAAAAGGGGGACACCGTCTAGGAGTTGAGTATATCTATATCCCAACTCGGCTAAACGTCTATTCTTCTAGAGCATGGATTATGCTTCAACGCTAGTTCCATCACAAAATCCCAAAAATAATGCTAATCATATGTGGCCACCATAATCAAAGCACAAAGATAACAAGAAGAATAAATTGCAATGATGTTGAATGAAGAACCAAGTTTCAGTAGAAATTACAATGGCATCGTCCCTAACCTCGGTGGAGGGATTTAGCCACAAAACATTATGGAAACAAGCAAATACAACACAATGGAATACATTACAAAGAAATAGGAGAAGAGATTACACGGAGCAAGCCGAAATTCGAGGTCGAATGTGGAACCCTAGCCCTCTCCTCTAAGCTTGAACAAGAACACAAAGGGGTGGAGAAATTTGAGAACAGGATAGTTGGGGGTGATGATAGATGTCCCAAAAGCAAGGAATTAATCTCCAATTTATGGTCTTTCACCTTAGATGAACGTTGGGGAAGATTTAGGGCGTTTCTCTCGTCGATTTTCCGCTCCAACGGAAATGTCGGGTGTTGTTTTGGCAAAGGAACGTGGCTGGACGATTTTAATTATCTGCATGATAATGCGTAACCGGTCACAGGTCAACCTTGTCCTTCGCCGGATTAGAGCTCAGTAACCTTCTTGCGCTTTCATAATGCTAAACCGGCCCAGGTCAAACTTGCCCTTCGCCGGATTAGAGCTCAGTAGGCACCTTCAGAATGATAAACCGGCCCAGGTCAAACTTGCCCTTCGCCGGATTGGAGCTCTTCAAGAATTTTGGCACAATTTGCTTCCTAAATCGCCCGCTTTCCATTCGACATTCCGAAGTAAAGGTTTTGACGATTGATTAGCGCATCGAATCCTTTCGCATTTCCTTGAAATTTGTGTTCTTTCCAAATGTTTCTTCATTTTGCCACCCTATTCACAAATTAACGTTTATTAGGTAGATACAATTCTTATTACTCTGAAACGTTATAGATTTGTGATTATAAAGTAATCAAAATTAAGCATTGATCACTTCATAACAACAATTTCTTATTTTGTGTCTAGGTGGGAATGTCCATTGATCCCAAACTTCTCGTTTCAAACTTCCCAGCTATAATGGGATCAATAGGACTTCTAGTTGGTGGAAAAACAATGTTGGTTGCTTTAATTGGCCGGATTTTTGGAATTTCAATTGTATCTGCAATAAGAGTAGGTCTTCTACTGGCTCCAGGTGGAGAGTTTGCCTTTGTTGCCTTTGGAGAAGCAGTTAACCAGGTTCTCTTTATTCATTAATTGATTCGTATTTTTTTTATAACAAGAATGTAAATCATCTGTCAAGCTATTATGGGCAGTGCATAATTTAACAAGAATAAAAATATTCTCTTTATTCATTATTTAATTCGTATTTGTGTTTACTAATGATGAAAGTTGCTGGTTTTGTTGCCTTCAGGGAATAATGTCTCCCCGGCTCTCATCACTGTTATTTCTTGTGGTGGGTATTTCAATGGCAATAACACCATGGCTGGCTGCTGGTGGTCAATTAATAGCATCTCGTTTTGAGCTTCATGATGTGCAAAGTTTGTTACCTGTAGAAAGTGAGGTGAACCATATTAACCATTTAGTAGTTGAACTGATCTTTTTCTTTGCATTTTGTTCTCATAGTTCTGTTTTGCATTTAAGAATATGATCATAGTGTGCATGAGTAATGTTATTCTGCTTGAAATTTTTCTTTGTATTTTTCAGACAGATGATCTCCAAGATCATATTATTATTTGTGGATTTGGACGTGTAGGCCAGGTGTTGAACTTTCTTCCTTTAGTTCATGAATTTTCTAAGCTTAAATACGGACCTAGCTAGGCCTCTTCCAGTTCTAACTTGTTTTTTTCCATATTGTCATCTGAATTGATCGTTGCAGATCATTGCTCAGCTTTTGTCTGAACGTCTGATTCCATTTGTCGCACTTGATTTTAGAAGGTATTAATAAAATTGTTCATTTTAAAAATGTCAAATTTATCTTTTCAATATTCAGTTTGCTTGCTTATAAAACCGGCAAATTCTTTTGTGGTCCTTAGGTCCATGCTTATTTATGGACCTTAATACATAAAATGATTATATGTATTGGGCCTTGTAAAAAGAAAGATATTCAATTATGAGCCCATGAAAATATGTGAGAAGGTCCACATTTCACATGTGGACCTTAGGACCACCATAGCACAACTATTTAAAAACTATTCACAGAAACAACTCTCTGCTCCTAATTTTAAGTGTTGACTGTTGAGATACATGTGTACATCTCGCCCACACCAGACCTTATAAGTCTGACATACTGAGTATGTTTGGCTTGATTTTAGATGCTTATCGTCATTAGCTGGTCAAATACATGTATGAAAAAATCCATTAAAGCTGTTATGATCCATCCAATCTACTTACGATTCATTAAATAAAAATGATTCAATCCATTTGTTAACCGACTTTCGCCGATGGATATCTATTTCTTGCATAGAGTTATTTTGAAAATTGTAAATAATGTGTATGATTATATTAAAAGAAAATAAACATCCACTTTAGTTTTGTTTATCCTTGTGATTCGAACTAATAGTTGTTTATTCACTTGTCGTCAAATACTAGAATTTTTTTATTGCTTTCTTCTCATCGAGCAATTTTGTTTTTTAACAAACATGATTCCGGTGAATAAAAGTCAGCAGCTGGCAAAACATTGCTTGTGGATTCCACCAATACCGATTACCTGCTGTATGATACAGTAGTTATTAGATTAGATAATACTGGTCGTTAGATTACTTGCAAATGGTTTATTGGGAATTTCAATTATGCATGTTTAAACTTCTACTTTTCAGTGACCGAGTCGCAATTGGGCGAGCACTTGATCTTCCTGTATACTTTGGTGATGCTGGTAGTCGAGAGGTAAAAGTTAATAGGGAGTATAATGAAAGGCATTGTGAAAAATGACAACTTCTACAAATATCATTATATTTCGTCATAGGTACTTCATAAAGTTGGTGCAGAGAGAGCTTGTGCTGCTGCAATAACATTGGATAGTCCTGGTGCGAATTACAGAACTGTTTGGGCACTGAACAAGTACTTTCCCAATGTAAAGACATTTGTACGTGCTCATGATGTTGATCACGGTCTCAACTTGGAAAAGGCTGGGGCAACAGCGGTATATTTCTTTTTCAACTATTCTGGTTTGAATGATAGTTCTCTTATCCACCCATCTTTTGAGTTAACAGGCTTTGCTTCTTATTGCTATGGTTTTTGCACTAAAAAGATTTAATCTTTTGCTAAATTCAACTGACACCAATAAGTAGTGAGAAGAAAACAGGCTCCTTGTTGGTTTTATGCCACAATTCACGCAGGTCTTGTGCTATTTAATTTTCCTTTAGGTTGTGCCAGAGACATTGGAACCAAGTCTACAGTTGGCTGCTGCAGTACTTGCACAAGTAAGCAGTTGCAAACCATTCTTTTTTCATTTGAGTTGCTTGATATATGCCCCCTCCCCCTATCTCTCTCTGGATTTAAAGAGTTGCCCCATTTCACGTCGGGTCGGTCTCTTGTAGACAACCATGGAATGAAAAATTTGCCTGTCCAAAAGTAATGCATTTTGACATAAATTCAATACTTTAAGTTTTACAAGTGAAAATTCCAACAATGCTTCACACCTTACAACAACTAATGCTTATCTTAAGTAACTTGGGGTTACCTGCATGAACCAAGAAGAGAAACACATCTCTTGACCAAATACTTTGGCACTTTGTTAAGCAAAAAGTGATACTCTTTATTTGTGCTTATTTTTTATGATAAAAGTATTGTTTATGCTTCATTGGCATGTGATTTCAACATTTTTTATCGGTTGAAGGCTAAACTGCCAATGTCAGAGATTGCAACGACTATCAATGAGTTTCGGTCCCGACATCTATCTGAGCTAACCGAGGTATGACAATGTTTTGACCCCTTGATTTTTACATTGAACGATTTGTTGGTTTGAATTGGTATAGCAGTTTAGCAGTCTTTATGCATAAGAAAGTTCTTGGGTCTAACTACTAAGTACCTGCACATTATTCTCCAGTTATGTCAAACCTCCGGAAGCTCTCTCGGTTATGGATTCTCTCGAATTGTAAATAAACCCAAATCACAGCCCTTGGACTTTTCAGACGAGACGGAAGGTACACTGGCAATTTAACCACATTTTCTGCATAGTCGTCAGTCACGTTCATTCAGTGGACAGAAAAGAAAACGAACCCCACCCCCTGCCCCCGTAGAGCGCGGTGTACTCTACTTGTCTTTCCCATACTATATATGTACAGTAAAGCAGCAGCGAATTTTGTATGGGGTTGAAACACTCTTTAATTTTGTAGTCTCCCAATCTTACGTACAGTGTAGTTCCATTCCATGATGTCCTTTACAACTTATTATATACTCTAGTAAAGAAAGATGATCAGCTCTAAGGCTCCGTTTGGTACACGGAATTCAAATTATATAATTGGAATTGAGAACAACAATTCTAATTCTACTGTTTGGTAGCACAAAAATATGTGAACTTAGAATCGGTAGTGCCGAAAATGAATTTGAATTGGAGAATTCAATTCCATCCAAATGACTTCCATAGAATTTCAACTCCCAACATTCCAATTTCGTCAATTCTGTGTACCAAACGGATCCTAATAAATTTTTGTGAGATAATAGTAGTAATTAGTATGAATCAAAACATCTTGCTCATATTCCTACTCCTATCCTATTAAGTCATTTTTGTTTTGTACCGAGTAATTCACATTGACAATTTATTGATCACACCATTTTTTTGAGTTGTTCTGTAGTCTTAAGATTTACATGTAAAAGTGGATTTTCTCGTACTTTTTCTAGGTTGGCAAGTGGATCTTTTTTTATTTTTAAATGCTCAATTCTTTTATGATATTAATATATTAAAGTCTATAAATTGAACATTAACTTCAGGACCACGTAAGAATTTCTCTTTCTGTTTCTTAGTGTTTACTTTCTAAATAGAGTAATTTCTTATACGGAGTAGTATTTTTTTCATTTAACTATTTATACTTTTGAATTTATCACTTTATATATAGATTGACATTATTGTTCTAGGAAAATTCTACATTACTCCGTACTATTCAAGTAGTGAGATTATATTTTTTGAAAATATATTTTCGTTGATCATTTCATAAAATAAAAAGATTATTTAATACTCCCTCTGTTGAGAAATGATGTTTATATTTGAATTTTTGTGGTTTTTAATGTAACATTTTGATTATTAATATCTACATATATACATGGATATATTATATGAAAATTTAATATTTCAAAACTATGTTTCATACTCCCTCCGTCCTAAATTATAATGTTTGTTCACTATCCACAGGGTCAAACTTCATCCACTTTCTTTCTCTATTTTTATTTGCAATTTGATAAAATAAAGTCCTATTGTCACTACTAGTTTTATAGATCTTTTGATGTATTATTTTAATATGTAATTTTTATTTTTTAACCATATACCATTTGTCATATAAAATGATTTGAGAATAATATCAGTCAAACATCGTAAACCAAAACATGCATTATAAAATGGGACGGAGGGAGTAAAAAATTATTGATATTATATTTTTTTGAAGTCTATTGATATCATATTTATATCAAAACACAACGTATTTTTTCATATATTGAGGTTAAAATTTACCAGCTTTGATCAAGAAAAGTCAAATAGAAATATTATTTTTGCACGATGGGAGTATCTTGTTTGACTGATGTTTATATGGTCACTAGGTCTACATTTAAACTCACCACTCAATATATATTTATTTTATTTCTAACCATTTTTAGTTTAATTTCTATTGATAACCATATTTATTTCATTAATTTTGTATGATTTTATTTATTTTTCTTAATTACGTTATTTTTTTCTACTTATTTTTTAAAGGTAAGACTAATTTTTAGAAAACGAAAAAGAAATAGAGGTATAAATTAATTTTAAAAATTTAAATGAAAATTTTAAAAAAAGTTAAAAAACAAAAATTCATCAAAAATAAGTTGGATTATTCACAAATTTTAAAAAAGTTGGATTACTCACAAATTTTAAAAAAGTTAGATTATTTGTTTTGATAATTTTCCATTTATCTTTTAGCGGTCCATTTCCAGATTGTTTCCTACCTAGCCTAGCCTTGCTTTCTTTATTCTCTATCCCAACACAGAAGCATTTGTGCTCCGCTGGCTTCCTCCCTCCCTCCTTCCCGTCGACTTCGTCCGCTAGGGAGGTTTTCATTCATCTACCTTCTTCGCCTCTCCAATCCGCCATCGTCGTCTGCAATATAATTCAAGGTTCTAAGGTTATTATCCCCCTTTTTCTTCTCATCAATTTCCGAATTAGGGTTTTTTTTTCAATGAGACATCGATTCTTCAGAAGTTGATTTTGTTGCTCGTATTTTTTCATTTGAATATCCATCTTATTTTTTGGAAATGAAGCAAATAGAAATAAACAGTTTTCAGATTTCCAGCCAAACGGATGTTATTTTCCTGATCTCCGAACGGATCATCAGTGTAAATTTCTTCATTTTGAAGTGCTAAAAAACCCTAGAATGCCAATGCCTTTCTTCAAAGAAAGAAAAAAAATACTCCTAGATGATTAAACAACGGCCCTTACTCTTCTCTCCCAGTGAAGGTGGTAGCAGAGTGCAATGTGGTCGGTCCTGAGATCCCGAATCGTTTCGCCCCCTTCGAAGCAGCTAGGGTTTTCCCCATCCCTCCTCAACCGGTCCCTCCATTCCTCTGCCGCGGACAGCGGCGGAGAGTTGCTGAAACTGGATGAGGTCGAGAAGATCCTCAGCGATGTCAAGGCGGACAACGTCCAAGTCATACGCATCCCGAAACGCGACGAGTTATTATCGGATTACATGGTTGTCGCCACCGGAAGATCGGCCTGGCACGTCAGGAACATCGCCCAAGCTCTAATCTACAAGGTCAAGCAGAAGCAGAAGGGCGCGGAGAGGATGCTGCTGCCAAGCGTGGAAGGGGAAGAAGGAGGGAATTGGATTGTTATCGATTCCGGGTCGGTGATTGTCCACGCCCTTGATGAGAAGGTGAGATCGTATTACAATTTGGAGAGCCTGTGGGGCATGGATGCGTCCAACGGTGAAGGGTGCGGCCAGGACAAGGATTTGGAGCAGGCGTTCGCCAAGGTTCGGCCCAAGAATAACTCGAAGAAACGTCCGAAGGCGATTGAGTCGAGAGCTTGATCTTTTTGCAGTTCATGCTTATGCAGAGGTGAACTTGATTGCAGGTGAAAAATGGGTTCATTCTTCTCTTCTTGTTTGCTCTGTATTCTGGGGATTCTTGTGCTGTGCTTTTCCTTTGGTAGCTGTGAAGATCTTTGTTCCAGTGAATAGTTTCTATAGCCCCACCAAATCTCAAGAGTTTCTAAGTGCTTTGTGCTCTACTGAATTGTTGTTCATCAGATGTAAAAATTGGTTGCTTTGAGATGATTTAATTCATCTCCATCGATGCCCAAAGTTTTCATTTCTTTTGCTTATACACAGCTTGAATTTGTTCCCATAGTTTTTATAATCCCACTCAGTTTGTGCATTTATAATCCCACTTCGTTTGTGCATATTTATAATCCCACTTCGAGTGTCCCTCTCTTAATCAAGTTCTATGTCTCAATCTAAAGTTGTCGTTCTTTTTAAGAAAAGAATTGTGTGAGACTCTTTCTTCTGCATAAAATATTACCCATTGTTTTTTTAAACTTCCATTAAAAAGAAAATGTGGAATGGGGTAACAAATGACAAGACATGAAGAGCTTTTTATTACTCGTAAAAATTTAGCACAAACAACAAATGACAATACAACGTTTGCTTTTACATTCATCCGAAACATGACAGCTCTGATGGAATACAAACCAATATGAGATGCGTATGCAGTATCTACTCCTCCCCTTTTGTAGTGAGAAAAATCTCCCTGCATTTCTCTTTTGTATCATCTGGGCTACTCACTGATAAATCAACCAAAAAATAATCAATATAAATTTCCCCAAATAATAATATGAAGTCGAGTTGTCGAGAGTCATGCAAAGGATAGAGAAATGATGGAAACAATATTTTGAAAGGAAAGTGGAATTTAATTTAGGGATAAACTAAAAAAAATGAAATGTTGAACTTTTACTGGACGAAGGGAGTAATAAAAGAGAAACTCATGGCTAACCTGTGTGGCCCACAGTTCTCTCAGATTCAAAAATCTCATAGTCATTTCCACCCTGTGCACACCAAGTTGAAGCTCATGTTCAACATTAAGATAAAAATGGGGGTGAAGAAAAAACACCCCTTGAATAACTTGGAACAATTTTATATCATAAAATGGGGCAGGGAATGATTTTTTTTGCCATAGTACTAATTGGTTGAATGATATGCTATTAACTGATACCTTGTATGTTTTGTCTCCGAAAAAATGAATTTCATTAAACTCATCAAGGTATCTCAAACAATATGTCTTGTCCCATCCACGAGGAAAAACCTGTCGAACAAGCACATTGTTGAAAAATCAACTTCCAAATTTTACTTGTAATGGACTGAAGCATGATCAATAATCACAAGTGTTTACGTCGAAACTAATTTGGCCCCCGATAGAAAATGTTAGGTCATGGTGTGCAAATTTCTCACGAAGGATTGATACCATTTTTTCACGAATCTTGTGAACCTGAAAGCATGTTTCACCAATGAGTCAAATCATACCAATTATAAATTTCTTCGTTACCAATGTGGAGGTGAGGCTATACAATAAACCAATAAGGTTCTACTAGTGGGATGATAGATGTGAGGCTATATATTACAGATAAGAGATGAGTAGATGACAAACTCAGAGCACCTTATCATATTTTTCGAACTCGTCACGCTCCTCCTGGCTACAATTCCTACCAATTGGAGATACATTGAGCATGCCACTACGGAACTCAATGAATGTTCCCCTACAAGTAAACAAAGGGAGGAGAGAAGATTGAGTCGTTTCTTGACTACTCTGTTTTTCTTCTGAGAGGAGTGGGGGGGGGAGGATATTTTTCCTGCTCACCTTTTTATTGGGATATCCAAATCAGCAATATAGTGGAGGGTAAAGTTAATGAATTCCTGCATTCATCAATTGCAGTACAGATCACTACTAATGAAATAATAAAGCAATAAATCAGAAGAAGGGTTTTCTTCGCGCTTCCCATTGCGAGGATAGAAAATTAGCATCTTAATTGCCTTGCACATTAGAAGATATTTGGAGTTTTGTTTTTGCATAAATTACCCCAGCCATTGTAGATTTTGGAGCTTGCTTACCTTAAGTTTTTCTTCCCCGAGAAATGACTTCAAGCTCTGCATAGATGGAATTATATTATCAACAAGATAGCAAAGGTGAAGAAAGTGAGAGATCTTTGAAAACTAACCTATATACATAGTATGAGGGTAACTGGTAAGAGTGTACAAGGAGATTATCACTGAAAAGGTTTTGAGCCCTTAAAAATCAGATTAATGGAATCGATACTGATTGAGGTTGCGACCAAGATGTAATGTGACTTTGTAAGCTTTCATGGATTTTAAATAAAATGATGGTACATGGGCATCTTTCCATGAATAGTAACTACTATAGGGGCAATTTAAAGGGTGAGTTGCAAAATATTCTTGCTCCGAGTTTTGGTCTGAGATACCTTATCTTTCTTCAACTAAAATTTAAAACTACACAACAACAATCTTGAGCCTTGGGTAAAGAGGCAAGACTATTGTGACATTACTAATCACTCATCCCCCTTTTCATTTTCATGGATCTAATGGTCGGCATGGGAAGTTTTTTTTCCAGTCGGTTGAATTACACAGAGTCGGATAAAAGTCTATAAAACTACCTGTGTTCCAATTAGCTTCCCATCCTTATGTGCCACCAGTCCATTCTCAGAGAATACATAATCATAATCATTTGTAACTGCAGAAAAACATATTACATGGAGCTGTTAGAGCGGGATGTCCATATCTAGATGCACAGAGCATGAAAAATGAACTTACATAAAACTATGAAATGAAACTAAAAAAGCAAGAGGGAAAGAAAGAGTATTGAAAAGAGAAAAAAGGGAATGGCATAGGCGATTCACTTGAATGCATTAGTGTATTTACAGGATAATCAGCTTTCTTCTCCAGGTTCATGTTAATCAGACACAAGAGTTATTGATAATAAATAGTACAAATTTGACCAAAGACTAAATGATGTTGCGGCACCCCGAGCCTATGCCTCCACTGGAGACTTGGGATCAAATGGGAAGACATGATAAATCACTGGTGGTTGATCAATCAGTGAAGATTAAAGTTTCAGCAGTGGCAGTGTGGATGAGTTTGAATGCTGCAATGAAATAGATCCTGGGACTACAATACATCCCAATACTGACCCATAGATAGGATCTCTTGTGCACCGAGCGGGAACCTGAGACTACTCATCCACACCACTCTGTGATTAACCTCCTCAACCAAGCCCTTGGGCATGGAGGGGTGAGGGCGATGAGGCTTAATAAAATTTTACAAAAAAAAACAAACTCAATACAAAAGGGTAAAGGAGAACTGAAGCTAACCAGAATTCCCAAGCTGTTCTGATATCTTTGCAAGATCAGAACCTCCAACAACACCAACAGTGACTACCTGCAAGTGGGCAATCATTTAAGCTTGAAAGCATTTTATGATTCACCTAATCAGCTATAAAGACCTGCCCAGACAAGATTTCACACCTTTTTCAGCTCCTGCATGAATGTCAGCATCTCCATAGTAGCTGTCTGGAAGTTACAATCATTGAAACAAATAGTCGTGAAATGGAGATCGAGTAGACTCGAATAATGTGCTTGCACACAAATTAACTCACTGCTATATACGAAGTAACAATGAACAAAGCAAGAATAACACAAAGCACACTTGACTATACTTGCTTTAGTTTTGAAAAAAATCCAAAGGCATTGGCTCAAATTAACTAAACAAAAATCTATCACATGGAATCGCAAATCAAAAACAATGCAAACCTCAGGACATAAGGAACCAGGTTAAGGGAAGATAACTGAAGACCGGCAATCAAAACAAGCTGATATAATAAGAAACTAACTGCAGAACATAGATCTCACCTTCCTCGGCGCGGTGAGGGTACCATCGACATCAAACAGAGCAATCAAACCAGGCTTCCTTGCCGCTGCCATCGGATCTAAAAGACGGTGATTCCGCGGGAACCTCTGATCTACAAATGCGGCGGCAGAAATGAATGCGAGAGCAAATGCTTAGAGATCAAAAACACATCTCACTCTGCAAATGCACACACACAGATCCTCACTGATAAATGCATACGCTGCGTGTAGCATACGGAGTGTTATATATAGAGAGAGGGGGGTGGGAATGGCCGACGATCCAAAAGGTCAAAGATGTAAATAGAGCTCCGCAAACAGTGAGTGACGTAGACAAAACCACAACGCCATTATCATTTACCATAACCAGACAAATAAAGGCATAGCTAAGCAATAGCTGTAGAGTGCGTGAATGAGGAGGAGGATGATGATGACGCCATGAGAGAGAGAGAGAGAGAGACGGGTTCCCCACTTCCCCCCCTTGTTCCTTTCGTGAACTCCCCGCTATGAATCACGGAATGTATCACATAGCCTTCAAACAACACAATTGATCTTTTTTGTTAAAAGCAAGCAATATATGGAGGTCCCTTTTAGATCAATATTTAAATGTTCTTACTAAATTGAAAGGTAATTTTGGTGATTTCTTATAAATGGGGTGGATTTAGTAATACAAGTAGTGGGTTTAGCACCACTCTATTTAAAAATGTTAAAATATAACATTCTCGTTAAATGGGAAGTACTTCGTAACTCTTTGTTAATGTTAAGTTAAATATTACTCTTTCCGTTTCAATTTAATATATGCGCTTTGATTTTTTCTTATTTTTAAGATAGATTAACTAAGAGGTAGATTTGTCTTAAACATGGAAAATGAAAATATTAAATCCAGATGAAAAAAAGAGAGTATTTTGGTCCAAACAAACATGCATGTGAGAAATAAGAAATTCAATCCGGAGAAGAAAAAAAGAATAAATATAAAGATTAAACAAGACATGTGGAGTAATATTATTGGATTTATTGCCTAACAAACATGAAGTATGCTAGACACTGTTTCACGTATCAACGCTAGAGGTGTTCGTCAATCTTGCCTGGTGCCACATCGACTTGCCCGCCCTTCTATCAAATGTCGTGCAATTGAAGACAAGCTAATTTGGAAGCTCATCTAATTTTGAAACAAGCGAATGCATTGACTCTATGTAATTCAATAGATTGTAAAATATGTATGAATAGATATTATAATAATGAGTATAACACATCATTTATGGAGTAAAACATACTCGTACAAATTTTCTGAACAAAGATCTTTTGGTTGGGGATAGATATTTTTCTGGAAAGTTTGAATTTTTTTCCCACTATTTAGTAAAATAAGTGTTAAAAAATTATTTTTCAAGCAAATTATTTTCTCCCATAAGAGAGGAAAATGATTTTTCCAACATTCGAAGGAAAATTTCTACTCACTCTCCGCCCTCACCCTTATCCGACACCCCGCCCCTCCC